AGATTTTGTGTCACGAAAATGTTCTAATTTTAGATAGATATTCTGGGAGTAACAACCGTGGAGTGATGGCCTCAACAGCATCCCTGATTAGGTGATGATACTCTTTGTGCAAGGACTCTTTTAGGCCAAGAGGCTGCAACAAGCACCTGGCAAGAACTTTAAGTAAAGCAAACAACAATTCATATGAGTGACCCTAATTAGAGGGGAATGTTTGATACATGTCCCTTTACATAGAAGAAGATTTTGACTTGGGGACAAATCGAATCGGGACTGCGGACTGAAGAATGTTGGAGACAAATCGAATCGCAGAGTTTTACGGGACTGCGGAATAAACAATAGTTCAATCGCCCTTTTTTACCGAGTTATTTTCTATTCTCCAAAGGAACATGCTTATCGGCATTGATAATCATTTCGGGGCAAACTTTTTATAACCAACTTCTTTGCACGCAACTTTCGCATAGGAAGCTAAATTAACCTTGAATTCGCCCAGTTGCTCATAATTTAAGTTCTGAATGATAAATTATCATTCGAAGGTTTTTCAGTATCGGCGTCATCCTGTATTACCCCTTGTATTACACTCTTTTTTATATTAATCGCCGGATTTTCATCTGCATTTCCAAATTTTGCATGCATCGGAAAAGTGGTGCTTTTTCACGTACTGTATTAAAGTAAATTCGTAGGCCTTTTCTCAGGGATATCACTTTTTTGAGGCTCTGCGTTAAAGACTTTTGAGTTTACGGCCTTCCTTGCAAATGAAGGACATCTAGGACCCTGGGAGTCAGTGTACTTGTCACCCAAACAAGACTCCTTCCCAGTCCCTTTACGAGGTCCATTAAGCAGCAATCATCTTGTTGATTTGCGTAATTTGCTCTGAATTTGTGAAAACTCTTTATTGTGTTGTTATGATTTGGCCTTAACTACCAAAATTCAGTTAAATGCTGCCAAAAGGTCAGTGTTGTTGACAGTGCCATAATTTGTGAGTCATGATTAACAAAAGTGTATTTCTAAAAATTGACCCTACCCTAATAAAGAGAATTGTGACTCATTCTTTTATTGTTTTACTACAATGTTTACAAATAGTTGTTGGTAAACAAAGATCAGTAAACACAACGAGTCCACAAATTTCTCCTTTTGCTGAAAACTAGGATAGGGAAATGCTTGGCTGAAAACTAAAAAAACCCGCCAGATTACCGCTACTGTTTCCCGCAACTCATAACTACATTTTCAAAGATGCCGAGAGGAGAGCAAGAAATAGACAAAGTGTTGTTATTTACAATTAAAGCATCTGTAACAACGGAGTAGAATATGACGTCATTTATGCTGGTGACTCATGTTCTACCGTTTGTTTTGAGAACCGGCCAGAACTGTCAAAAGCGAATATTGACTCGGTTATAAATAAGTTCCATAAATAAGCAAATGATGACAACAGTATCAAGTAACATGTCTGAATCTTTGCCATAAAATTTTCTCTCAGATTTGATAATATTTTTTATTTTTAACGTGAAGTATCTTTTACTTCTGCGAATACAGGTATCATACTGCAATGTTGTTGTTTTTTAGTGGTATTCTAGAAGCAGCATTTGTGTTATGAATTGGGCGGGACATAGGTGTGTTCCACAGAGAGAAACATGTCGAACTCGAACATATATATATATATATGATGATTATACGTAATTATTTATTCTCAAGAGAGAGAACCTCTCTCCATGCCTCGTGCATCTAACTCTAATCAATAATTTGTTTTGCCTTGCCGGTAACTAAATGTTGATCACCAAACGGTTGCAAAGTTAAGCTGCTAGTTATAATCATCAATATGTAGTTTTCAATTACCAAAATGTTTTATTTTTAAAGTATGGAGATCTCTTCGAGCATTCAAGAGCATCTTCAAGCCCATTCAAGCCCCCTTACGACAACACATCTTGTTTTAAATTATTTTAATCAAAATTCTAATGCGTGGTCATAATTTACTTTTAGAAATCGGCGTAGTCTCGGTAATTGAACACCCTTTAAAAACTGCTATTTTGCTATTAGGACAAGTTTGGGACTTTGGGTGATTGTGAGGTCGATATTTAATGTTGGCAAAGGAAACAAGCAGAAACAGACATCTTCATTGAAAGGACTGGAAATGACTGTCATATTTGCTAAATATGCCATCCGCAATGTCATATGCGACAAAGCAATGTAAGTATGGTAGCAAGAGATTGCCAAAAATTCATTTTCGTTCAGATAATTGCTTGTCAAACGAGGTTATACCTCTAGGCCTTGCTATAGGAAAGAGCTGCTCTTGCCATGATTGAATGCAAGATAATTTTTGCAGAAAAACTTGCACTATGCTCAGTTTATAGGCTCAGCTTAAAGAGCTATTGCCAAAAAATGGTGAAAAGAGTGGCAATGCCAAATCGTCCTTGCCTGAAATGACCTTAGACCTTGAAAATACAAATTTATTAGACTCTAAAGAGGTCAAGAGGACTAGTCGCCTCCTTACCTCAGTTTTGTGTCTATGGCACCATTCTTCATGAATAAGTTACAAAATTGCGTTACTTTTTATGATTGGACGTGTAGGAAGTTAGTGAACCTTTGCGAAAAACAATTGGCTTCTCTATTCTATTATCCAATGCTACTTCATGAGGTGGGTGTGTCCACGACAAAACCTTCTTGAAGATGTTTGGGAAAAACGGAATACTAAAGAAACAAAGACACAAACTGACTTTGATCTGTGTTATTAATTTATTATGAAAATGGTGTGCTAAAGTCACGGGTATAAATTGAAATATACTTCTATGATAAATAAAGGTGTTGGTTGTAATTTAAGATGGGGTAGGGCCAGTACATAGGTCATACATGACTTTCGTGCATAATTCAGAGACAAACATTTTAAGATTAGAGTGAGTCTCAACCTTTCAAGGTCAAATGGGCATGTTTTCAGACGGCTTGCGGATCATAAACTCCACACATTAATCGGTCGAATCTTGGAGCAGTTAATCAAACTAATAACGCATTCCCTTTCCCTTTATGCGACACGAGTTTAGGTGGTGCACGACCTTCCAGTAAGTCAAAACAAATCTTGAATTGACCTCCGTTGAAGAAAACGTTGAAGAACAGGACCTTTGGTATTATCCTTCAAAAAGGTTACACGATACAAGACAAACATGACAAACCTTTTATGTTGACGATATTAGACAGCTTGTTTCAACTAGCCTTCGACGTTGCGTCATTTGATAACAGAGCATGGTGTTTGGCTGGCTAGGCCAAAAGCAAACTTACCAAACAGGCGTGGAATCATCAAGGGGATAGGAAACCGTCCTTCCTTTTAAATTAATATAAATCCAAATTGATATTATTGTTATGCACGAATAAAAATTCAAAAAAGCCTTTAACCTTTTGGAACTACGCAACTTACTCGTGCAAAAAATATTCCTTTTGGAATTGCTGAAGTCAAGGGCAGAAACCTCTCTCCATAGTGTGCAGAAATGTAACTTTCTTATCGGAACCAGATAATTTTTGTTTTCGATGATCTAGTTTTTGGATAATTCTAGGCTTGGATGTTCTTAACGTTGTTTGGATCAGAATTAGTACTGATAGTGTTTTAATTTAGCATCCAAATTTTGGCGTTTTAGTACTAAAAGTTTCTTAATTGATTTCTTACTTTCCAGACCTAAAATTGCATTATCATTTTGAAGTTAAGCATTTTTGGAAGAATATAAAGGCAGATCGTCAGGAAAAATATATGCAGATCAAAATCCAAAGGATGCTATCTTTTGCAAAGAAAAATAAACAAAATAAAAACTTTTGACTCCTTTAAATATAAATTTTACAGTTTCTTAACTTTTCATGAGCGGAGTACCAAAGTATGTTAAATTTATGGCCATCCTAATACACAAAGAGCCGTGTATTTCAGTGATAACTTTTCTGCAACAATATGCTACAAAATAGTTTGTAAGGCTATTAAAGAAAATTTTCGCATTTCATTTGTAGTAGTAGTACGGTTAATTATAAAGTCTTTTAACAACAGAGTAAATTTTCGAGAAAAAACATTTTTCTTGCCCTTTGTCATCTGAGGCTGGTCATATTCTTAAGGTGTTGTTATTTTTCGGTGTTCTCATGCAGTGTGTTTTTAAGAAATAAAAGAGTTGTATATACCTAACACAAGTTCTATATCATTCGAGACGTCGTTTGTGACCTTACTCAAAAAACTGTCCGTCTTCCGACAGGTTTAAGCTCTGATTATAGTGAGGGAATATTTCTAATATAGAAGCAGATTTATTACAGCAAAATCTCTCGTGAGTAAAACATTGTTGTCTAAAAAATATAATGACAAAAACACCAACGCGCGAGAAATCAAATCTCGTGCTTTGTTTTGGTCTTTTCCAGTCGCGACATGATCGTGCGTGATTCAACCAAAAGTCGAAGCACAATAACCTTGCAAAGTCGCTGCGGGCTTTAATTAAAGCATATTTCAATTCTGCTCATAATTAAAAGAGTTCTTCCGTTGGAAAAATATTATACTCTGCTGGCTTCAAAGAAAGCAAACCGCGCCTATCGAACAAGAGATCCCAGTAGCTGAGAAACACACAGCGCTCGAGTTCGTGCTGGAGTTGCGTGCTCAGAATCTTACGTTATATTTGACTGGAAAGATTGCCATCTATTGTGATTTGCCTTGCCAACACCATGTTTTCCGGACTAATCTCCACCGAGACAAACAATTGTTTCACAGTCTAACATCTGTGCTTCAGTTTTCTAGACAAAAAATCTGCTACCAAAGTTTCTTAAATTTTCATAATAACAGATTCTATTGTATTCCAGGGGCATGATAGCCGCAAAAAACATGCGAGACTGATAGAATTTGTTTATGCTCAGAGAAAAAAACAAGGGAGAGTTTGAAATTTCATAGCTCGTGGAAACTCAACACTACCTTTCAGTCAATAGGTCCAACAGTTTTCAAGGCCAAACTAAAACTAACAAAGTATTGACGAGAACGAGTAACGATAAACAAGAACAAATCAGAAACACGACTTTATTCTGATACAATAACATCGATTTATCGCTGAAGAAGAATTCGTACACATCTTAAAATTAATTAAAATAAAGGAAATAGATGAGTTAAGCCAAAGGTGTGACTTAAGATTAATCTAGGAAATTGTTAAAAATCACTAAAATAAAAAGAGATGGATGGGGAAAAAGAACGACAAAAGAAAAAAAAACAGTTTGGAACAGAAAACCCTTGCAACCAGATCGAAAGTAAACTTTTGGGAACAGGGGATAATGGGTGATAAAACTACAAGCCGAGCGTTACACTGGAATACTTACAGGTTGGGTTTTTTAAAAGGCAAAGAAACAGTTTTAAATCATAATGCGAGATGCTGGTGTTAACTCTACCTTCAAACGAAATTTGCAATAGCTTGAGTTAATAAACAACATTTGACGATCCTTTCGAAAGTTATTTACAGTTTAGAACTGGACAACCTCGGCTGATGAATACTGATATACCACAGATGACGATTACAGCGTGGATCCTGATTATGAAATCAGTTTAATTTTAAATTCATAAAGACAAACACACAAACATCAAGTAAACATTTAATCAACCCTGATTTTTAACATTCTGGTACTGTATCTGTATCAAAACATTTCAGTGAATATAAAATCTATTTTTAATGTCATTTGATCATGTATAATTTTCCATGAGTCGTCGTTTTTCTTCAGCGCGCTCATCCAGGGTAGCAAGAGGTGTTCCCCGCGAAGATGGTCCAACGTAGCTCAAAAGCACGGGTAGAAATATCAGTCCATGTAAGGCTCCAATTATGACAATACCTAGGTACATTCTGAAGTAGAATATCTATGGAAAAATACAATATTATTTCACATAATATCATGTCATATCATGGAGCTAAGGAACAGGTCAAGGGAATGCATGTATATCAGTCCATGTAAGGCTCCAATTATGACAATACCTAGGTACATTCTGAAGTAGAATATCTATGGAAAAATACAATATTATTTCACATAATATCATGTCATATCATGGAGCTAAGGAACAGGTCAAGGGAATGCATGTATATCAGTCCATGTAAGGCTCCAATTATGACAATACCTAGGTACATTCTGAAGTAGAATATCTATGGAAAAATACAATATTATTTCACATAATATCATGTCATATCATGGAGCTAAGCAACAGGTCAAGGGAATGCTTCCAATTGAAATGGGGGGTTGAAGGAGGGTTCAATAAAAAGCGTACATTAATATCAGAGACAGATTTGAGTTCCTAGGTGCCAAGTACTCGCTCAATCTTCCAGAATAAATTGATAAACAGTTATTTTCTAAAACTTTCCACACTGTAGAACTTTGCATACTGTCTCTTCAAACTTTTAAAATAAACAGCCGATTATACTTCTTTTAAGGTTGTTTTGAAATGCTGCTGCCATGTCATTGCACGCAGAAGGTATGTCAGACAGAGAAAAACACCACATTTTGATTGCCTGCCTGATTAACATCAAACTTCATCGTAACATTAGAGGCAGAAAAAGGGGAAGGACGAGAAAGGTTTTATCCTGTGTCGGAGAGTTGAAAGAAAGCTACGGGGGTCCTATTTAAAAAGTTTGTTTGTACAAGAAGAAATCTAAAACTTTGCTTCAATGAGTGGGTATTCTCCCACTCCATGACACCCCTGCTCCCACCCCAAACCTATGAAACCCCCTGCCCCACCCCATGACACCTCTCCCTTATGCATCAATATCAGTCCTGCAGTTTAGTAGATACACGTTTCTAAACAGGCCTAGCTTTAACCCTGAACTGAGCCAGGTTGTTCCCAGTTTTGTGGACCAGACTGACAGACAGTTTTAATCAAACAACTTTAAAGAACAGTACATACCTCAAACAGCTGCGATTTAGCAAATGCAAGCACAATGATGCCGACGAATTTCGTGAAGGTAATACCACTGAGAACAGAGCTGCCCATGCGAGCAAGCGAGTCTTGTGCTCTGTCGATTCTGCTATGCAGCGGGCTGACGCTGAACGCCCTAGCGATATGTGCGCAAAACTCCACTGATATTCCTATGGCCATGATGAGGTTGACGAGGGACACAGCATTGAGGGAAATCCCCCAGATGCTCATCAAACCAAGCAAGTTGACAACAATCATCGCGACCACTACCGTCATGATCACAGCAATACCCAAATTGAATCCAAGCAAAATAAAGGTAACAACGAAAATTGCACCTGAAAAAGAAGAACATGGATTATTCAATGGCATACGAGGGTTATATTTGCCAAAAAGCAAGTGGTATTCAGTTACGCTGGCATGTAAGAAAAGTTCAGTTAACAGTTGTAATACATTTAGTACGAAAAAGGGTAACCAAGCAAGAATCATTTCTCTACAGAACAAACAAAAATGCAATTAATATAGACTCAATGCATGATAAATGCCTTTACATGATCAACGGGAAAACACAAGGTTTAACGATGGAGATAGGAAGTTATGGTTTGTTTGATCTCAAATAGATACATGAAAATGTAGATTTCTGCTTTTCAGTCTTAAGTAACGAGACTGTTTAGATGACTCGGTCATGATGTGACATAAAAGGAGCCATATCTAGAAAATCTTTAGAAATTTATAGTACAGTACAGTTTCAATAAGTACAGCGTTTGGGTTGGGTGGCGCAAGGTGAATATTTAATAGCACTGTAAAATCAGTACATATGGCAACAACAGCAATAATAAGAAAGCAAACTGCAACAGATAAAATATTGCATCCAGGCAACGAGGATGAACAACTGCCATACGTACTCACTCTTCGTACATAAAAACGACACAGCCCTTGTCTATTAAAAGCTCTTTCAATAGGCTCTAGGCTTATGAACTAGAATGGTTTGAAAGAGGATAAAAACTTACTTGCACAGATGGATAAATCAACCCAAGTGTCATGAACGATCGTTAAGTACTGTTCATAGAAGACGTAGAAGATACTGCAAAAAGGGCATTAGTCATTGCATTTTCAGCAAACTGGTAATCAATGTGAAATATTGACAATAATTACTAGAAACTCAATATTAAAAATTCTTTACTTCCCATCATATTTTTAGCAAGCAAGATCTCAATTGTGTAGGTTATTAGTCAAGGATGGACTCCAATACCAAACTGATGAGCGATATGCTTGCAATCCAAAGAAAGACTACAATATCAACGGTAAAATGCTATAACTTCAGTTAAGCCCAGCTCAGATGTTCAGAGGGTTGTAAAGAACGACGCTCATCAATTACTAATTCAGAGGAGAATGCTCTCACTCTCAGAAGTATGGTCATCAGCATATTCGGCGTCACTGCATCTCTCTTCCCTTACCTTCTCTTCCTTTCTCCTCTCTCCTTTCCCTTTCTTTCCCTTCTTTCTTTCTTTCTTTCTTTCTTTCTTTCTTTCTTTCTTTCTTTCTTTCTTTCTTTCTTTCTTTCTTTCTTTCTTTCTTTCTTTCTTTCTTTCTTTCTTTCTTTCTTTCTTTCTTTCTTTCTTTCTTTCTTTCTTTCTCTCTCTTTCTTTCTTTCTTTCTTTCTTTCTTTCTTTCTTTCTTTCTTTCTTTCTTTCTTTCTTTCTTTCTTTCTTTCTTTCTTTCTTTCTTTCTTTCTCTCTTTCTTTCTTTTTTTCTTTTTTTCTTTCTTTCTTTCTTTCTTTCTTTCTTTCTTTCTTTCTTTCTTTCTTTCTTTCTTTCTTTCTTTCTTTCTTTCTTTCTTTCTTTCTATCTTTCTTTCTTTCTTTCTCTCTCTCTTTCTTTCTTTCTTTCTTTCTTTCTCACTCTCTTTCTTTCTCTCTCTCTTTCTTTCTTTCTTTCTTTCTTTCTTTCTTTCTTTCTTTCTTTCTTTCTTTCTTTCTTTCTTTCTTTCTTTCTTTCTTTCTTACTCTTCTCTTCTCTTCTCTTCTCTTCTCTTCTCTTCTTTTCTCTTCTCTTCTCTTCTCTTCTCTTCTTTTCTCTTCACTTCTCTTCTCTTCCCTTCCTCTTCCCTTCCTCTTCTCTTCTTCTCCTCTTCCGCTTCTCTTCCTTTCTCTTCTCTTCTCTTCTTCTCTCCTCGTCTCTTCTTTTCTCATTTTACCTTCTCTTACCTCCTTTTCACTCGTATGGTAAAAAGTGTCATCTACTTGCTCTCATATTATGCTTGATTTTCATCATGTTATTGAGTGAGTGATATGATTCTAAACACTACCGGCCGATTTTCATTTTCACAAGCCACAAGAATAACATATTTCCTTATCTAATTCGTTGGATTTTTTTAAAAACCCACACTTTTCCCAAGGGGAGAGGGGGAAGGCTGAATTTGCACTTAAAAACTGACGTTAGTGTTCGTTAACAGTAGCTTGCCTAAAGAAAGGTTCCTCTAGAAACAACGGTTTAGTAAAGCCAGAAAAAGTTCGACAATCTACAACTTATTTCCTTAGAAAAGTTAAAGTTAATGTATACGGGAATCCATAGAAAACACATACCTGTAGGGGAACACTTCGTGATTCAGCACTTTCGACATATTGGCTGATAAAGATCGGGCATATTTCAAGGCATTTGTGTAGTCTTGCGAAGTTTTTAATATTGTGTGGTAGGACATGAAATACGAAGCTAAAAAAAATACGAGCACACAATTATAGAAAACAAGTAACAATTTTTTAGGAAAAGAGATTCAAAGCACAGTCGGCTCAAAAATCAAGTTACTTCTAATTATCATTGGAAAAAAGCTTAACAAAATCTTGAAAAATAGTCTTACCATTGACAATGTCACTGCTCGTGTTTGGGTTGAGTTTCACTGCACTGCCGTAAGAAGCATGACCCCTGGAGCAGAAAAATTTAGAGTAAAAAATATGTAGTAGAGAGAAATGTATGAAAAAGTGTGACAACCAAGTTTTGTTAACCTTACAAGACTGCCTTCCTTACTTGAAAAGTAATGAAAGACAAGAAGAATCGATCATCGAAGGGTATGAACATTTAACCTAAAAGACTGGAACTACCTCTCTATTATTTACAAGAACTTGCAAGTTTGATGTGAATTTTCGTTAAGAGTTCACAATAAACCAGAGACTAAAATTGTGAATTTATCTCCCACTGTATTTGTATTGCTGAAAAGTGTAGGGATTTTTGCCACCACTGGCACTATAGACAACAAATTGATTGATAGCAACAAGATTACCCTTTAGGGCACACAGCATTTGGATTGTCCTTAAGGAACGATCCGAGGTACTTCCTGAAATCGTCCTCTGTTGGCCTCAAACCCGCATCTTTGATGTCTCTGCAAGGCGAGCAATGCCAGCTTGCGTTGTTCATTGTCGAGCTACAGAACACAAATCTGCCAGGGAAAATCCGTTTTTCCACAGTGCTATTTCCAACCGTAACATTCTTGGAGATGTAATCTAGCTTACGGCAACATGGGGTATCACCACTTGGATCGGACCAAGCAATGTAATCGTCAACCCACGAAGAGGCAGTCAGGGCAATTTTGGAACTAAAACAGAGAGGAAATGTGAGGAAAAACAAAAAGTGAGGGTAGAGAATCAGATGACACGAAGATGAAGAATCCCATGGCAATACGTGAGAAATGGGGAAAATATGAATAGAGTTATGTAATTAAAGTATTCTAAAAAAAGAAGGAATACTGGAATTAACGGAAGCATAGCAAAAAACGGCAATAAATGAACTATTTTATGTGTTGATAATTCGCCCAAGATTACAGGCAACCTCAGAGCTACTATATAAAAACAATTTATTTCAGTGTACTTATATGCAGTGTATTTCAAATCAAAGTATGTGCGGGGATAGCGATACTGTGTGGCGGTGAGAACAATGATGTAGCAATGATGGTTGCGATTGGTGATAATGACAACGATTGCCATTATTGTTCTAGTTAGCAATACTTGTTTTGAAACTGATACGATATCTGGATATTAGTTCGATGAATGAACTATTCAACGAACAGGGGATTCTAGCATTCAAGAAAAAAGCAAGGACAGGATCATATACAAATAAAAAATATACATATATAGTAATTCACAAACTGCCGGTTCAATGGAGACTGGAGAGTGAGCAACGTCTCTTATATAAAAATCTTGAAAACGTACTAGTCTTTGATCTCAGATGACAGGAAGACTTGCGAAACCAGCGAGTCAACTTTACAACCAGCAATGCCACAAAGCTGCAAAGAAAACGACTTTTAGAATGCCATCTACAATAAATGAATCCTTTAGAGAGAGGCTAAGGCCCCTACACTGAACATCATTTAAATTGTTTATTTGTTTTCTACAAAGACAGGGATAAAGAACACTTTTTGGATCACGAATTAGTTGCATTTTTATCTTGATGATGGCGTTTGCCAAGGAATAAATGGGTATTGAAAGAAGGTGGGTGAAAAAGTGAGGGCAAAAGCAGGTCTTGGCAAAAGAGGATTAGGGAATGGATTTTTTGAAGGAAAAAGGGTAAATATCTCACAAGGTAAAATAGAAAGTATTACCAAAGAAGTATTACAAGGAAGTATAACCGAAGAGATGTCTGTAATAAAGCACACTAAAGGAATGTTTTCATTAGAGACAAAAATACCACCATTTTTATTAGCACAGAAAAGGCCTTGATGATAGGCAAACATCAGGCAAATTTAGAAAGTCAAGTTAATATTATGAAATAAGGAGTTTTTGATCTTACCTCGTTTATATTTTTGGGATCCTCATATTTGTAGCCTTCTTTGACAACGAAGTAAACAGGCGGTCCTACATGAAGGTACTTATTCATGTCACTAAACCAATCCAAAAGGAAGGAATCTTTGGGCAAAGCTAGCTTCTGATCAAGGCCAATATCGATGTAGGGGATGAGACAAATGCTGGAGGTTAGCAAGGCACCGAACACAAGCATCTGCAAAGAAAGAACAAAGTGAAAAATTATGCACGAACAGCAAAACAAAGACGAACTAAGAGCAAATTATCAATTAAGATCCGGAAATGATATAATCCCTGGAAATATTTTTACATACCACAATAACTCGAACTTTTTTCATCATCAGAAATGGTGCATAGAACTTCTTGAAGAGGTAATACAAACAGCCCTCGTTTTCATTGCCAGAACAACCAGTGTTTTCTTTCGTTGCCATCTTTGATACTTTTAGACAGCAAGCAAATTCCAGCCTATCATTCTGCAATAAAGAGAGAGTTACTCTTTAAACTAAAGAATGCAATCACAGAAAATGTCCACTCAATACCGGATAAGGAAGTAAGAAAAGTCAATCATTGAGTGCAACACTACATGGATATTTTAGCAATAAAGAGAATTATCAGTAAAAAATTCAATTGTGATTTGGAATATTTTGGGAAAGAGGGGATGAATTATGGAAAAAATTAAATGAATAACCGCTTTGTTGCAATCTTGAATGTGAATTGCCAATGAATTGCGATCTGTAGCACGATCTATTTCTATATGAGGTCTTAGAGGCCCAATGTCTCTGTTAAACGTTAAACGTGAAATGTTAAACCTACCTTTGTTAAAAATGGACTGGCTTAGTTTTTGTGGAAAGGTAACACCAAATATTTTCCAGGAAAGTGTCCGCTCTATTCCATAATGTATGGATTATGAAATTCAGGATTTAGTTCAATTCAATTTGAAGATATGTTTTCGCTAGAATATCTCAAACAAGCTGTGGTGGAGGCTTAAGATAAAATTGCTTTTCAACGCCATTGATCACACAGTTTCACACTAGATTTAAGAATAATCTGATATACTGTTTTGCATATCAACCCATTTGGCGTCAGTATTAACATATGAACTGGAATGGACAAAAGATGCGCAGATGTATATACTTAATGTTTTCAGCTATGAAAAATGAAACTTACTTTATGACGTTTAGCATCCAACGCTAACAAAGCTACGAAAGCAGTAATCTGCAGCAGAAAGTCGAAAAAGACTGCTAATGCGGCATACTGCGAGAAAACACGCACAGCAGGCATTGTTGACATGGCACCTACAAACAAAAGCAAGCAATCAAGATTGGAAAAAAGTGGCATTGAAAATGGAAGAACCGTATGAAACATTACAGAATACAAATATAAGCTACAAATATTCTGATTTTTGTTATGGCAAAGTCAAATTTCTGTTAGACAGGTTTGTAATGAAGTATTTTTCAGTTTGTTATTAGATTGGTGTTGCGAAAGACACGTTCTTCATAGGTTAAAGCTAAAACATTAGCTTAAGAACATTAAATCTACGTTTGTATGAAGCACAACATACAAGAAACGAAAGCAATTCACGCTCGCAATAAAAAACATGACAGCCTTACCTAAACCAAAAGCCACAGATTCGGACAATGATGAAAGAAGCATGCTTGGAGCGACCTGGCCCAGAACCCTTCCTACTTGGTGCGCTATAGGTTCACCCGGGAGTGGAACATCTCGCTGAAAAATTAAATCATAAAATCAAATACATCAACAAACAAACAAACGAAATAATGATTTGAAAGAGGTTGTCAAAGAGACGCAATAAAGATTTGATGAAATCACTTATTTCTGAGGTATATTTTTAAAATGCAAGACTGGATTACAGCTGATCTAGATGCATTCACATCCCCTAAAGTAATACTGCTGTCATAGTAAATCTAACCAGCCATCAAAGGACAATCCATTTGAGTTTCATTCACAAGCAGATTCTTCTCACAATCACAACTTTGCAAACGAAATTCAAGGAAGTTAGCGATCATGTCTCGAATATTCATATCAAAAGGTCCTTGTAGGCGCGTTTTGCAAAAAAAATTACAGTGCCTATTTTTCAATGTTGATGTTATATCTTCGATGTTCCTTCATATTCTCCTCCCATGCCTTGCAGACACAAAAACATTTGAAAATTAAATCAAAATGCTCCACAAAAATAAATTTTGATTCAATAATGTGATTAAATAAGGTGATTCAAATAGTTTCAATTGCGATTTTTCAGACAGATTCACTCCATGACAACAAAGTACCTTCAAATCTACTGACACAGTGAGAAAGTAACACAAGTAACAGAAGAGACATATACAGATGATGTCACATGAAAATCAATTTAAAAATGCTGCTTACTTGGAAGGTCTGCACAAGAATGAAAATATTGTCAACACCAACAGCGAGCACCAAGAATGGCACAACCTCAATGATGATAAGTGTTGCTGGTACTCCGGCATAGGAGAAGGTACCCAGCGAGCTTGCAACTGAGCACAGGACAATCATTACACCACCGAGGCCAACTATCAACTTTGAATCAACCTGCATCAAGTGAAAATTCAGCAATAAGCATAAATATACATAATTATACCCCTTCTCTCGATAAAGTTCTCAATTTTGCATCAAGTTTAAAATAAGCCACCTAAGGTTAAATTGCTGCTGGAAGCTGTTGTAGAGGAGCACTGATAGAGTGAGCTGGTTTCAGTGTTCTCACTTTGCTTCATGTAAATTTCCTTAAAGTCGCACGAAAATTTCCTCAGTTTTCGGAAAAATTCCTTAGATTTATGAAAACCTGTCTTTGTTTAAAAGATATGGTCAAAACAACTTTGGCATATAAAAAAATTTCACATCGAGTCATTTGTCTACATGAAATCGGAAAACTTCGGACCAAAATTCGTTTGTAACTTTATTTGTCCAAAATCTAAGTTTCTTTGTCCGAAAGTTTTGTCTAAACGTTTTTTGTCCGAAATTATCGAAAATGCCTTTAAAGTGCCACTGAATTGAAAAAATCAAAAAAAATTTTATTGATGTTCTAAGTCAAGTCAGTGCTCCTGAATCCGATGGTGAAGTTCATTTTTCGGAATTGTGAAGTATTTTGAAGCTACAACGCTTCAAAGTTGCGATTTTCAAGACTTTTTGTGCGAAAATTTGTGCGCGGTCTGTGAGGAATTTCAGGAATGTGTGACGCATTAACGTTTATAAGTCGCGGAAGTGATGCGGGCTTCAGTACTGAAAGCTGTATTTCGAGTGCGATAAAAAACCAAAAAAATGTGAAGTTGATGGAAATAGTGCGATACATGTGCTCTAAATATCACTAGCTATCTAACTACAGAACATGTGCAAGGTATTTTCTTGCGAAAATTTCGAGCCAAGAAGAAATAAGTAAACTTTTTGCGTGTAGTTTTTGCCAAGACTTCATGCCGATCATTTACCTTTTATGAATAATTGAGCGTGTCGAATAAGAATGCTCTTACAAACAGCTTTACAAATTATGAATAAAAGTAAGCAAATTGATCAAGGGAAAAAGTTGCTCTATTATAGAACCAAACAAATTGCACATTTTTCGGCGCTTTTCCCACTTTCCAACTTGCGTTGCCACTGTCAAAGCATCAGTTATCGCCAGGGCCGTCAAGATGGGATAAATTGCCCCGTGGTCAGGGGGCCTCAAAAAGTAGAGAAGTTCATTTTAAATGGAATTGATTAAAAGTAACAAAATTATGCCTTTAAAAGTAAAACTTTTTAAACGTTTGCATGAAAAAGAATCAATTTAGGCTAATCTAGAATTCGTGGTTGCAAATATCGCCTATCCGTTTTGGCTTCCAGAATGTCTTGGCGTCCCTGGTTATAGCAGTAGCATCATTGCTAGCATCATTGTCATGGTATCGTGATCCAAAATGAAAATTATGAAAAAAACTTGCTTTATCTGGAACCTTGTTCTCCAGCCTATAAGTAGCACGGTGGGATTTTTCAGGGTCAATTCATAGCCTATCTTTTTCAGGGTATCAAACTGCTTATCTCTACAAAGTTCCATGCCGATATCGCGATCTAAAAGTTAAATTATGACAATGACTGCTTAGAGGCCTAGGACCTGGTACCCCAGTCTATAAATAGCATAAGGGGAATTTTTCAACCTCTATTCAGACCCTATCTTTTTCGGCGTATCAAACTGCCTAATACTGCCAAGTTCCATGCTGGTATCACGATCTAATTGCTAAATTCTGTCAATTACTGCTTAGAGGTCTAGGACCTGGTACCCCAGTCTATAAATAGCACAAAGGATATTTTTCAGCGTCTATTCAGACCCTATCTTTTTCAGCGTATCAAACTGCCTATTACTATCAAGTTCCATGCTGGTATCGCGATCTAATGGCTAAATTATGTCAATTACTGCTTAGAGGTTTGGAACCTAGTACCCCACTCTATAAATAGCACAAGGGGGATTTTTCAGGGTCAATTCATATCCTATCTTTTTCAGCGTATCAAACTGCCTATTACTATCAAGTTCCATGCTGGTATCGCGATCTAATGGCTAAATTATGTCAATTACTGCTTAGAGGTTTGGAACCTAGTACCCCACTCTATAAATAGCACAAGGGGGATTTTTCAGGGTCAATTCATATCCTATCTTTTTCAGCGTATCAAACTGCCTATTACTGCCAAGTTCCATGCTGGTATCGCGATCTAATGGCTAAATTATGTCAATTACTGCTTAGAGGTTTGGAACCTAGTACCCCACTCTATAAATAGCACAAGGGGGATTTTTCAGCGTCTATTCAGACCCTATCTTTTTCGGCGTATCAAACTGCCTTTTACTACCAAGTTCCATGCTGGTATCACGATCTAATGGCTAAATTATGTCAATTACTGCTTAGAGGTTTGGAAGCTAGTACCCCAGTCTATAAATAGCACAAGGGTATATTTGTCAGCGTCTATTCACACCCTATCTTTTTCGGCGTATTAAACTGCCTATCTCTATCAAGTTTCATGCTTGTGTCATGTTTTACACAATTTGTATCTTTTTATCTTCTTACAGCCCTCACTATGGCTGAATTGACTATATAAATCTGAATGCGTCACTCGCCCCAGCCTCTTTTCGCACGACCTACTCGCAAAAGAACCCCAGAAACCCCTATTTGTGGGCCCCAAATTAAAAAAATAAACTTTTTTCGGAAATCAGCGATGATAGGTCTACCAGAATCAACAATAAAAAAAAATTCATTTTTTTCAGTTCAGTGGCACTTTAAAGACCCACACGATGAAACATATTTTCTATCGCCTTACTTTTAATTCAATGTTGCGTTTGGTTGGAAATGTATAATTTTCCTTTACCATAGAAGAGCAAAAATTTCTCAAAATTTTGAAAATTCCTTGAAATTTCCTTATAACTGAAATTCCTTAAAAAGTTAAAAAATTCCTTAGTTTAAAGGAATTTCTACACTGAGCCGACTGGTTTATACAGTGGTGGAGAGCAAAGAGGTCCCTGGCGCCAGTAAGGAACTTGTAGTGGTTGGAGCCACACAACTAAGTAAGCAAAAAGGATTTTCATGCACTCACTAGATTTTCATGCACTCACTATTTTCAAGATTCTAGAATATTGATTGCAAACAATGAAGTGCAAATTAAAATTTCGCTTTGATGCTCAGCACAATACTTTGCTGGAGAGCTGTTATCAATGTTATATTAATTGACCAAGATGTATTGTTTAGAAACAGAGGGCAAAAGGTTTTGTCTTCCAAACAACTTCACAAGGTTTTGTCCCACCAACACTTACAAGATCTACTAATATATGGCAAGTAAAGACAGTATATATTTAAAGAAGTCTAAAATACAGATCATAATAATAAAACCACTCACCAACAGTCTGCTCATGCTATTCCATTGACCAAGAGCAATTGAAATGTACAGAAACATGAGTAAATAGCTGACCAGGATGGTCAGAATATCTGACTCACTCTCTCTATTAAGCTCATCTTGAATTGACCTCTCTGATGAAAATGACACGTTGAAATATTTTGGTCCATTCTTCCTGTAGTCTTTCATGAATTCAATGAATGATTTCTCCCAGGCTTCTGCCTTTTTGTTCTTAGTTTCCTCATCGTAGTTATTCACAATAAAAGTAAGAATGATTGAATTTGCAGATCGGTAAATATCTCCCTCAAAGCCTCCAAGTCCAACATTTGGATCTACAGGGCCTCCAAATTCACCCATGCATGGCATAAACAAAAAGTTTCCATCATTCAAGCTGGTAGGTGACCTAGATTTAATCAAAATGTCCTGCATTAATCAAAGTATCATGTAATCTGTTCATGATATTATTTATCAAACATATCTTTGTATTTGAATCATGATTCATACCCCTTCAGGTAGCCATAATCAATAGAAAAATCTCTGGTCTGCGAGCCCTAACTTTTTGTTTCATTTTAATGATGTCACGTGATCAAAATGAGTGCACAGCTTTCGCGCGGTAGAGTTCAAATTTCTAAATTGCGTGTTGTTTCAACATAATATTTTCAACTTATCATCAAGTTATCAAGTATGCTATATTATTAACATCCCTGGAGCTAATTGTACGTTTCATGAATGTGGAGTGACAAGAAGAGAAGCTTTTTCGAAAGCAAGATTTACAGTTCCAAACCGGGCAGAAATTTTATTCGAATCGGCGAAATAATTCCTTGGATGTGTTTTCAAAGTGTTTATCTGCGAAAGACAATTTGTCTTTGCTTGAGTAAAGACTTTCTCAATTTCATTATTAGCTGTTATCAAACCTCCTCTACTCTTGGTTTTATCAGTCTTTGGGACACAGGCCTTTCTCCAGCAACCCAATTAAAGTCTGGTAAATGTCATTTGGGCTGTTTCTTGCTTTTTCAAAAACTTGTGTTCAATCTAGCCAGATAAGTATTGTAGGCAATCGAAATTTTTATCGCACATGGGCAATGGCCTTTCTAGCGCCACTGGTTGTGCTCTCCTGAAGAAGCTGAACATTTTGTATCCGAAATTTTTAAACAAAAAGAAGTTAATAGAGCGGGCTGCAAAATTTGGTTTAAGAACATTTGCAAACTGCACAACCATACTGAAAAAAAAAACAGAAAAAACTGCTCACCATCGCTACTGTCCGATAAGACTGCATAGCATTCCATTTATTCGTTTTTAAAAGAGTCCATTAAAATGAAATTCATTATGAAAAATCGCTTCAGGTAGGGCTTCTGGATAGCCATAGCCTGTGCGCAGACCCAATATTAGCAGCTATTATGTTGGAAATAAGTTTGTGAAGATTTTACAAATCTCATGATATCTGACATATTCAATAGGCGGATAGAGCAGCTGCTCTGGCAACAGCGATGTCGTGTTCCTTCTTTGTTTGTCGTTTTTTGGCCACTTTTCTTGTAGTAGTGCTTTTTGTAAATTGCATAACTGAGTTCAACAGAGATAGTCTCTGAAACTACACTATCCAAGGCAGGAAAAATCTCATTGTTAAACAGTTCGTCTAGCTTTTTCTTGACGAAAGATATAAAATCTAAGCTATTTGCTGTGCACACTGTCAGCTGATGTTGTAAATGCTTATTGTGTGTCAAAAGCTGGGGCACTAGGCAAGAGCCTATTGTGGCTCTAAAAGCAGTAGATTTATCAGTTGGAATTACTTCATTATATACTTAATTTTGTTACTTCTGTATTGTTTTTGTTCTGATTTTCTTCAAATTTGCCATTTCTTCCTGTTAAGTATACAATCAAAATCTTAGTAGCTTCTAAATCTAAAACACTCAAGTAGGATAAATTGCATTGACAGCTTTTTTTGAGTTTTTCCATGTATCCCTCAGCCAACAAGTTTACGATGTATCGTCTTTAAAAAGCTTTCTTCAATTGTACAAATACAAAATATTTTACTTTTGATATTTAAGTACAATGTGATTAACATGCGTTTGAGTTGAAGGTTCGTCTGCACACTAAAAAAAGCAGCATCTACTATATCAAAATTTGTTTGTACACTCATTTTGATCACGTGACCTACAAATAGACTGGCTTCAAGTTGGCGCGCGAAACAAAAGGATAAGACAAAGGACCTCCAGACCAGTGTTTTTCTATTGACTATGAGGTAGCTTAATGCTTAAAATTTAATCACTCCTTAATGATTTGAAAAAAAAGTTTAAATGAACATAAAGTTGTTAGGTGACCAATTTTTGCACAGCAACATGTTTTGCCCCAATCATTCAGAATAGGACTTGCAATCAATGATTGTGAATGTGCCATACAAGGTGAACTTGCATGTCCAACACTTGATAAATTCCTTTGTGCATCAATAAAAACCTACTGAAAAAAGCCCGCACACATAAAAGAAAAAATGCATATAGAATAAAGCTCTTTTATTCACTATTAATTTTGGATAATTTGGGTCATCAGGGGCACAATAGAAAAGCATTCACAGGGTGTAGATGCTACAGTAGAGGGCTAATTGTCTTTGCAAAATGGCAAAAAAATGGAAATGTTACTTACGCTGTGCATTTCATAAAGTGATCATGCCAGTCAGAGGCATTATTTCCAATACCAGCACTGCAAGGGTCCTTTGTGTCAGCCATGCATTCATCAATCTTTGTATGATTATTCTGCCAATATTGTGTTATACTCATGATAGTGCATTCATTATTATCTGGTGACAGTGGCTTATAGCAAATGTCTTTCAATCCAACTGTGACATTTTTGCCATTTTCTTCATAGCTTCCTTTGATATTTGAAATTGCAATTTGTAGATCTAAAACCTGAGGATGTAGATTTTCAATTAATCCACGATACACATTTACATAACAGTTTAAAATAAAATAAACATTTTAAAATTCAAATGCTTTTAGCCTAGAGTTGACTGCCAGATACTTCTAACTGCAAGATCTCTGTTAAATGCGAGTCCCTTAATATTGCAAACAAAACAGACGCACAACTGTATTTGAAAACAAGATGGAAATGATTTATTCTACCTCATACCAATTAAAAAGTCAAAATCTGTTGAAAGAACATAATTTTTTGCATTATACTGTCTCAGACCAATTATTTTAACCACTGAGGAAAAATTGCAAATTTAAATAAGGAATTTTAAAAAATATAGTTTATCATATGCTTTTAAATGACCCATTGTTAAATGACCTTGTGGGAGAGGGTTGAAATTACAACATGCAAACTACAATATAAAAAATAGACCAGGTGTCCTGCAAATTTTAATACCCTATGTTCAAAATATATGCTTCCATAAAAATTTTATGTGTTAACTTTGTATATAAAATCTTAACACAAATTTTTTTTTCTTCTCTGATACTTTTTCTCAGAACTTACAGCTGATCTAAATTTCTTAGACATTCAGAAAAATCTGATCTAATCTTTACTTTTTGGATCTTACTATTTCAACCCTAAAATTGTTGCATTTGGGTCTTTCATTTTAAAGAAAAGGTCTTCCAAAAACGAACCATTTCTTGCATTAAAGCACTTTATATGATTATAGGGTTTAAACCTCATTGTTCTTCCAAATATTTTGTCAAATCGGTGTGATATTGTGTAATAATGCACCATCAAATATCCTTAACTTTTTGCTTGCAATGTAGTTCACATACAAACAAGGAATGTGTTAGAGTCTCAGGAAAAACCAAAGAGAAAAGTTTTCATTTTGTCATTGTCTGCTAACTGATGTGAAACTAAGGTAATAGAAAGAGAAGCTGCAACTCCTAGCTGGCAGAAACAGATGGGGAACTTGATTGTAAAGGGGCTCTGAAACTCTGAAATTCTAAAGAGATTCAACAGAGAAAAACAAAAACATTAATGTGACAACTAGTGGTTACCTTGTGCAGCATGTCTTTATGAATGATCCCATTGAATTCAATAATTTCTCCTCTTGGGTACAAAGAGTAATTCTCTTTTCGTGGTTCAGCTGTTATGATAACCTGCTCAGTTCTGTAAAATGGCCCAAAATGTTTGTCAAAATATGCCCTTTCTTCTCTAGCAGTACTTTCTGTTGCAGACCATAAATTAACTGGGTCAGTTATCACCTTGAAAAACAACAACCCGAATGATAGTGCAACCACAACCAAAAATGAAGCTATAATAACTGTCCAAGGATGGAAGCCACACCATGTGCCCCAGGCCTGAAAAGACTTTCTCAGATATCCATCTAAGGCAGCACCACATCTAACAGACAAACTCCTCTTTGCATTGCCCCCATATTGTGCTTCTGATTTGCGAGCAAGATCATCAGAAGTGCCTTCAATACTTCCATAACCATTCAATGAAACAACTGTTCTTTCACATCTTCCTTTACAGAAGATTGAAGCCAAAATAAAAACCAGGGCAAACAGAATATAAATTATACATACAATGAAGATATGCAATGGGATATGGATGATTTCTTTTTCATGTTTTGCTGGTGGTATATCTGGCGGTGATGGACAAGATTCTGTACAGTCTTGACAACTACAGGAGCTGTCATTTCTGCCAGTAGATTTATCAAAGAATGTCTCATTACAGCCAAGCATTCTTTTGTTGTTTGGGATAACATCACCTGGTTTGGGGTTCACTGGCTCGTGCATTATGTATGAAGTAATCTGGAATGGGGCATAAGGGGGGCTACCAATAAATGCAAGCCATTTTTGAGGTGTACATTTGTCAGCACTTGTTCCACACATATAATCAAGAACCTTGCCATTGCTTCCTGGGTAATTGACATGTCTGCATGAATTGAAGAGCCCTTCAGCGAAATTTCTTGTCAGATAGTAATCAGCTTGTAAAGAAACCCCTAAGCCATAATCATACACTGTTGTGAACAATGCTTGGTTTGGGCTGCATGTAAACTGACACCATAAATCAATAAAGTTCCGTAAGCAACTTGGACATCTTGTGAGCAAACTTCTTGCTGCCTGAAGCTGTGAGGACAATGTGCGAAGCTGTTTAACATCACAACAAGCAGTACTAAACTCTGTTGAAGAATTCTTGTGTACTAGGTTTGGGCAAGTATCCTTTAACAACTTAATAGTCTCTGCATCTGTTGATGATTTAGCAGGACCATTATAGACACAGTTCTTTGGTGGGTCATAGTTTCCACATTGACTATACATTGAGCAGTGTCCAGCTAAGTGCTTTGTATTTTGTGACATAACCTAAAACATGAAAACTAACATTTACCAACTTTATAACTTTAGTGGTCAGGGACATGGGGTATACACATGAACAGACGTTTTTTGTTGGGGTAAAGCTTGTTGTCAAGTGGGCATTACCATGACTAATAGTTTTAATAATTCTAACATAACTGCTAGGGAATATAAGATAAATTACTGGGCTAAATATGATTCATCAAATGTGGTGTATCAGCTAGAGTGCAATGTCTGTGGTGTGCAGTATGCTGGTAGCACTTCTAGCACTAACACATCCTTTAGATCAAGGTTTAATAACTATAAGGCATGTTATCAAAACTTTACTCAAGAAGCCTCATTACCTCAAGGAGAATTCTCACACACTTTACAGAAGAAGGCAACCAAGGATTGTTTTGGCATAGGAGGGAAAGCATATTTGATATAGATTAACTGAGAAGAGTAAGATGCAGGAAAGCCTCTAAAGCTTGATTGTTTTTTCTACTATGCATGTTACTTTATTTCATTTCATGTCAATATTGATCCCTTATAGTTATTAATTTCTTTCGTTAATATTCGTCGGTTTGGCATATCTATTTTCTTTGCTCTACAGGTGTTATGGACTACAGGAATTTGAGAATTTCACTGCTGCTTAATCTTATTGACCCTCTGGTAGAGTTATACCTTTAACAATACTTATTGTGATGGGCAATTTCCCTTAACCACTCTTTTGTATTGATTGGTTTAGGAGGCAGAAAACAAAGTGCCCTTGTATTGAATTAAAAATCTGAAAGAATTGCCAGTTAATTGTATATATATGTTAATATTTTCATTGTCATTGTATTTCTTTACATTGCAACTCCTTTACAGAGCCAGAAAACTTTCCTCTAGAAATTGTGTTCTTCTACATTTGTATTTTATTTGGTATTTATTCCTACCAAGATCACAATTTTTAGTACACAAAGAAGCAGTGCTTCAAGAATCCCCAGCCATGTGATTGCAGAGAGGGGACCCTTCTTTCCCCAAGTGAAAGTTTTGCCATTTTAAGGACCCCAACCGAAGACCCTTGGATAATAAATTATGCTTACTTAATAAGTGGTGATTACTCAATTTCTTCCCGCAAAATTTTGATAACATTTGGGAGTGTAACATTTTGATAATTCTGTAGTTGCTGCTGCCTACAAAGCAGTCACCTCTTCTGGCGCTGTTTTCACGGCCTACAAAGACGCTCCGAATAAAGTTGGCAGCGCATGCACATGGTTCTAACCTGTTAGTGTATCTAATTATCCAATAATATAGTGTTTCAAAGACAAAGTTGTTTAGTGGTAGGAGTGTCATAAACTGTCATAAATTTAGTTATCTTTTGCGTTATGTTATGCCTAAGCATGCGCTGCCAACAGCCAAGACAATCACGGGGTTTGTCACTAGCCTAAGAGCCGATTCTGCCTAGTTCAGGCAATTTTGCTACAAACAAGCAAACAAATTGTGTGATTATTGCAATGCTACATAACTGAGAGATCGTAAACAATATTTATAGCTGTAAAATTTTACAAGTGATTTTTCTGTACAAAATATTACGACGGGCATTGAATCGCTAAATGACTTTGCCTTGCAGCGCTGTTTCTCGGCACGTAAAATGGAAATCGTAAAATTCAAGGTTAAAATATATTTAAAAGCAAACAAATGCTGTAATGAAAGCATTCTATGCCTGAAAATATAGAAAAGAATATGCCAACTACACAATAGAAAATTAAGTTAAATACACTTACCAAGCTTGCAAACAAGGCAGTAAAGCAAACAATCCCTACAATTCTGTTGAAGACAGCCATTATTTATTTGACGGAAAACGAAGCAAATCACATAGATTAGAAATAATTAATCGACTAGTCCAGTTAGCAATTTCTCTGAGAGAACCGAGGATTCTCCCCGTAAAACACGACTTTCTCAGTTAAATTTTGTTTTGAAAGGAAAGGCCAACCCTTCCTTTATTTCGACATAAGAAAGTGTGGTTCAGAAAAGCCAGACCATCGTTCGAGGCAAAGGTGTAATTTGATTGGGTTAAGTTTTAGCACACTCAAATGTGATTGGTAGAAGGCTATTCTGGAGAGAGCTTGATTGGTCAGCAGTGTTCGATTGACTCTAGACGACCCCAGTGGTATATTGTTTATCACATGATCGTCGAACTGATGTTGTTTGGTGTGAAATGACATGCGCCTTTCGTGCCATATCACGCCACTGAAAATGGAAATGCTCTGCAATGTACTTTGAACCTCTTTACAGCTGGCGACATGTTTTGTCCCCCCAAAATAACCATGAATACACTCGCTGAATGTCAAGTTTTTTGTCAACACTCGAGCCATGTTTCTTGTTCATCTGTTTCTATTCAATAAATAGGCTATCAGAAAAATATGCCGATAAAAAAGGTCTATCTTGTATTAACTTTCACCCATACACTAAGCTAATGTAAAGTTTGTGTTAAAATGCTTCTTGCAAAAGAAATGTCTGTCCAGTAGTTACATTGCTCACTGGAATGCCATGGAGAAATCTCTACTTTTAGTTCTAGCGTCCTTGAGAAAATTTAAGAGAAAATAATTTGGGACTGCACCACAAATGAGCCGGAACCATTCCCCCACTCTTTGTTCGCTTCAACACTTAGATTTGAGTTTTTTTCAAAAAATTTGCCCAAAGTACCAAAATCTACAGGTAAAACAGAGTTAGAAAAAATTTTGTGCAAACGTGCTTGGGTGGAGGAGCCGTTAGGGATAACAAGGACAATTTTTTTTCTTTTGCCCACCTTCCAAGTTTAGAATCGGTGGCGCGGTAAGTAGGAAATAACGAATTCAAGAAAATTGAACCTGTTTATTATAATCAATTAGCCTGTGTTCCAGACCCATAAATCTAAAGATCACCCCACCCAGGGACCAGACCTACGCTAAGTGCTCCCTTTAAAAAATTCGGGCCCCCTAGTTCCCCGTAACCCCTTGGAAGACCTCTCTACTCTTGACATTCCCAATATCCAAGAAACATTTCAAGGAACCTCGAATAATTTTGAAAATCTTTTATCCAAAGAGGATCTTTAAATTATTCTTATTCAGCATTCTTTTTGTTTCCAGAAAGATGAGACTTTCCATAATAAACATGTTGGTACAAGGCTTTTTACTTTTCGGAACAATTTTTCAATTCGTGTTTCAGTTGATCAAATACAAATCTCCATTTGTAAAACGTATATGAATCGAACCGTTCATCTCGTGAACTGGGTATCTAGACGAATATCAGCTGCAGTTATTCGGCAGTATTGAGAAAATAAATATTTTTTCTTGCTTGGTTGTATGTAATGTAAGGGCGTGATATCGGGCAAGGTCTTCCTTTACGTGGTGACGTAAGCATTTGGAATTCGAACTGTCGATGAGCATTGAACCGAGGAGCCTTCGTCAATGATAATCCACACAGAAATGTTTCGTCCATAAAACCGCGGAAATTCCACGTATTACATCATACAAGCTTAATATTATAGAATCAAGAGATTAACTTATTAACCCCCCCCCCTAGACTCACCCTTAGCCGGTTTCAAGTTTTTGTACAGTTGACCCCTAAAATCCAAGACTCCATTATATACGAACAGCCCCACTAGAATCGGGTACTTGAATTAGGCATTTGAATAATAGCCAATGAAAACCAAATTGGTGATATTCTTTTTTTTGATAATGTGACAATTTCTGGCCAAAATATTCAAGGAAATTTATAAAATGAGTAAAAATAAATAGAATAGCTATGATTTGTTCTTTCTTCTCTGTCTATTTTTTTAAAATAAAACTATCAAAACGACACTTCGTTAAAATATAATATATTTACAAAAAAAACAGGACAAAGAGAAAACAACGAAAATTAATGATCAAATACAATCGATAGGTTGATTTTTTTAAATTTTAACATTCAAATACTTCATAGACCTGGCCATGGTTATATAACGTGTATTTAACGAAGAGGGTTGAAGGGCTCTTTGTTCCAACGACGATAGGAAGCGGGTATTGAAAAAGACACCACTGTTCATTTATGGACGCAAAAAGGGCGGTGCTATCTGTCCAACATTAAAAAGCCGAATCCGTAGCGATCCGGTCCAAACAGGGATGATCCGGGAAGCTTCAAAAAAGCATTTAGAGTTCAAGTGCAAAGACAAAATGGACGACGGGGTGATTTTGCAATCGTTATTTGACTATGAAATGCGAAATGGCTTTTACTAGAAACCAGTTTGGCCAAGATCAAAGGAATACAGCAAAATAAGGTGTGGAAAGTTTTGAGGAGGAGTTGTGACATTAGTGTGACTGAGGGGGACAGAAGAAGTTGAAAAATTGACTTAAGTGACATTCAATATCCTAATGCCAAATGAGAAAAAATTCACAATAAGAATAAGGAATGAAATTCACAATGGGCAAAGCCACGACACCCTCTTGCTGCAACCATAGTCATTAGAAAAACTTTAGTCTAGAAGCAAACAATAGCACCTATGTTCTCCAAACACACAATATTTCTTATGACTATGCTGTAACTAAACAATTAAAACATAAGTGGCAGCTTCACATCGCTATTTCTTTGGCTTTCATATATTTGGGTGTCCAAGTACACAGCAGCCAGCAGACAAATACACCGGATAAACCTCCTTTTCAATTTTAATGCTGTACTAACATAAGGGCTGCTCAAAGTGTTTATGACAATAATTTAACTGAACGTGTTTGTAAAAGTAAAACCATAAAAACCACACATAACACTCTGGTTTAAGAGCTTCGCGATTGAAAATTCACTGTTTGTATTAAAAATTGACGTTCAAATATGTATTTAGTGAATTAACTATATCAACTATATTAATCAAGTAAGAAAGAGGCCTAGGCCCACACAAGTTTTTCAATGTTTAAATTATTAAAGTAGCAGGTCTTGGGAATTTTATTTGAACAATTTCCAAAAAAAGATGTAAATTGAGTAGAAATGATCATTTTCTCAAGGTCTCAAGCTATAAATGGTTTCTAGCTAAACCTCTTTTTTTTCTTACCAAGGAGAATGGTTCATCAAAGTTTCCAGGCTGATGATTACGGGATAAACCCGGTGTACAGTAGAACAGGGGTTCAGTAATTCCCCTATGCTTAGAAACCGGGTTTTCCCCAAGAACACTGGAACTACTTGATTTACAAAGGTCATAAAAATATGGGTCTAGGTTCTGGTAAAACTGTACCCGAGAGAAAAGTGTATCGGTAAGTGTTATTGATTCCCGATAACGCCCTTAGGCGTGAAAGTGTCCCTGTTTTTGTTTGCTGCGTGATACTAAAAAATTAGGATTTTATTTACAAAATTTCACAAATATTTATTCGAATGACCACGCTTCCAGCCCCCGACATATAAAGTCCTCTTTGGATGACAGTGTCTCGTTGTCAAAAGTCTTACAAGCATGGCTTCTGCCATGATTGAGGTCTTCATCCAGCCACAGACCAAACATTCCACTGAAAAGACGAAATGCACTTTTAGAAAAGAGATACAACACAGCAGTCTGTAGAAACAAGTACAAAATTAATGTATCTTTCTGACAACACGAATGGAATATTTCTATCCTGAAAACGCTTGTTGCAAAGTGAAGGCCTGGCCAAGCGATTCAAGCATCCCGTAAAACATCGTAAAACATGGTGGCCAAACGAATAAAACATGTTTTTCAACAATATTGGATGATGTTTTATGCTGCCGTTCTATTTGTTGGACCAGGGCTTAAGGAAAAGATCAACGCAAGCGATGGGCATATTAAAATGTAAATTTATTGCTTTTTTGTCTGCTTCAATTGTTGAGTACAAATTTTCTTAGGAATCAGCGTTTAAAAGATATCCTTTTCTCACATCACTACGGTATCCTGCATTTTGTCCCTCAGACGCAAAGCAGGAGTATGGATCCCTCGGGACCTTCGTTGTTGCCTGCTTGGAGAGCAGTAGACTCCATCATGTCATTTTGTAATGATTACGATTAAATATACTTACTCTCCTCCCCCAACAGACAGACACTTGGTATCTCCTTTGATGAAAAAGCTGTTTATTCCGGTCCAACGATAGGCCTAGAAAATCGAAAGTCGGAATACGATAAAGATCCAACATATTGGTATGTAATAAATGACGAGAATTCTTAATTTTTCTGGCACTGAGCAAACATCCCTAAAATTGAAAATAAGCCGCTAAGGGACGAATATGCAAACTTGATCAAATTGTTTAGAAGAAAGAAGTTTGAAAGGGAAACTGCATTTTTGCTGAAACAAAGGTGAAAAGTCCACGTTTCTATAGAACAAGTTCACGGTTCTGGAGCTAGACAGAGATAGAGACAGAAAAATAAAAACACAACAACAGTTTGCCCTTAAAGGAAAAAGTTGTTGTAGGAATTAAATAGCTTTTGAAATAAAGTATAGAATTATAATCCAACATAATTTAAAAAGAGAAACAACTTGCTACAGTGTCTTCCCAACAAACAAATTAACTGATTCGATGATCAGGAAAATACATGGTCAGGAATGAAATTCTCTGAAATACCTCAACACCAATGATGGAAAAAAATTAATTGAAAATAAAACAAATTTACCTTAATTTTATTGTCTTTAAATGTAAACAACATCGATTCACCAGTTCCATAGAAGCCTTCGCTCACTTTTGGAGGGTCTGACATAAAAGCTCCAAATGTCTACAGAAGATAAACAAAACTTGGTGAGAAATGCCATTCAGATTTTAAACATCAACATCAACAAACTAACTGGTAAATAGTAAGCGAGCTAAACGCAAAAAAAGCTTAAGGAACTACATTTGCAAGCTGAAACTTTTCGGCAACTGCTGGAGATACAATGGTCAATCTAGAAGTTCCTGGCATTAAGAACTACATACATCAAATATACAATGCAATACCTACCCTGGGTATCATTTTATACTAGGCTTTTTCAATAATCATAATAGCTTTTTGAACAAAGTTGAAGAATCTTCACAGCCTAAATTAAACCGTCAATAAAGATATAACAAATCTACACAAATAGAAAACTAATATACAAAAAAAATGTTGGCTTTCCACTGGAATTACTTCAATATCTCTCTTTATTCTCTTTGTATCAAACGTTTACATTCATTAAATATAGCCCTGACATAGGAAATGCTCAATAGTTTCCCTTATTCACATTTATTTTTCATAAGTGGAACAAGCGTATATCAAGACAAAGATGCCAATGAGCTTGTAAGAAATGCAAACTACGTGACAGGCAATATCTTAACCAAGTGGCACACCTAACCCCCCCCCCCCCAACTAGCTCACCCCTGGCCAGTAAGGACTATCTTTTATCCAATGACATTATCTCTCAGGTTTTCTAGTCCTTAAGCGATTCGAAATCTAAATTGGCACTCCTACTAAACTGAACTTCAGTGCCTCTACTCGTTACTTGGTAAACATTATGAAATACCATAACAAGACACACTAAGGCTAAAAAACACAGCCGCCATCAAATTCTCATTAGCATACAGGAAATTTCCGAAAAACATACCTTTCCGTCCTGATCTACGATGACTAACAGTATGGGCGTTTCTATATCTTGTGTATTGCGGTATAGCGTCTTCAGGCTGATGCCATGAACAGCTGTACTGTAAACGAGGTTCCATCGATGACCAATGGTTCTTGACGGCAACTCACGTGACAACTAAGGAATAATTTTGGTAAAATGCAGAGGTATCTAATACAAAGGACTTCAAGTTAGGAGCTGCGACTGACAAAGGTTGAGTTTTGATGACAAAGGAAGACCTGATTAACTCATGTGGTCATAAAAATTTTCATCTTCAAAAATCAATGTTGCAAACACTATACACGTTGAAGTTTTTATCAGCAACGGTTTTGAAGATATATGCAAAAACACAACAAAGTGGTTCTGTGTTTTACTGGGTAATAGAATAAGTGTTTTACTGGGTAATAGAATAAAATCACATGACGAAATCGAACTCAAATGGGCTGGGGTTTGAGAAAACGTAGCAGAGATAAGAAGAATCTTAAAAGATAAATAGATGATTTGGTTAGCTCAAATTTCTTTGCTCCTCAATACGTTGTTACATATTCTATCGCAACTGTAAAAACAGCACGAGAACTAACTGTACACAATAGCATAACTAATGCTGTACACATATAGATTACATGGTTACACCTTACCGCCTCGATATGCGCGTTTTCCAGAATGTTTGACTCGTCTGTTAACTCCGGCACATCGTCTTCATTCAAGCTGATAAGAGAACAACAAGTTTACTGCGGGTATTTCAATTCACCATGCAAAACAATGTGAACTGGTGATACGCAAGTCTATACTATCAACAACAATGTTTAGAACTCAGGCTGGCAACATTAATCAGGTTTACTTTGCCTCTAGTGTTAGGAAACGAGCGAAGTAGTAAACGGCAAGGCAAGGGAGAATCATGATTACAGATCTGCTAAAAAAGTTAACAAAGCTGTCTTGGAATCTAAAGCAGGTATCGAAAACACACTTGAAAAGCACAGATAAAATACGAAAAAATCTTTATGCACGTTGTTGCGTAGATAAAATTGATACTCGCGCTGAATATTCCTTTAAACAATCACAAAACCGCGTGCATGATATGAAAATATCACCTGCACTGCCAAACTAAAACGCGACCCTTTCGAATTTCACACTGACAATACTGTGACGTTTTGCTTGACTGACAACAAATGGCTCCAACACAGGCTGGCTGGGCAATAGGCCAAACAGCTGAAGCTCAAAGGGCAGTGTTGAGTTCTTCATTGACTTGACAAGATGTTGATGTGGAGCTTTCTTTATTTGCAACATCAAAGATCAAACAAACTTTGATGACTCTTGCAAACTCTTGCAAGTAATGACAGAAATGTTCGATCAACCTTCTGAGAAATGATTGTCTTTGTCAATCAGCCTCTTGATATTAAAAGTTCAAACAGCTCGACCCAAAGAGAGTCTCTCAAATCCAATGCGGTCAAGAATTAAAAAAATGCTTTGTAGTACAAATTACGTCATATTTCATGTTTACTTTGATGACGCAATTCCAGTGAAGTAACTTTGACGCAATACCAAGCAAATCCCGTAATACTGTAGTGGTCTGATGTGTTTGATAACGGTTTGATAAAAGGCTCTCGATCTGATAAAAATCTCGTCCATTTAATTTTTGACAACTCCAAAACAGGCAGTGTATTATCCTTTGGCAATGCACGTGCCTACGTTACACGTCTCCTGACAAAAAGTCGTAAATCTCTCAACAGTAAACAAGATATGAATTGCATTCCATAAGTTGAAAATTCCCGGTTTACACAAGAAGGACTTCTCATTATGGTGTGCTCTAAGCTATATCTAGCGATTGTGTGTTTTCAACAAAATCGTGTTTCTAGTTCAGTATCCTCGCATTCACCAACGGCTGCACAAAAATGCACAATCTGAAGCAACGTGACTCGCGGCTGGAGGTTTCAAATAAAAGCGGGTACCAGTTTTCCTATTGAACCAACGACACCCGGAATACTGAATTCGCCAACACAACACTGACAGACAGCTTGATTAACAATCTCAATAAACAGGTTTTCTCTGTAATATAGATCACTATACTCGAGAGACAAACCGGTTTAACTAGTACTTGAAATAAGATCTTTGCTGTCTAGGCAAAAACAATATTGCTGTTGCTATAGCAAACCAGCCGCACACCTCAAGGCAGAATCAAGCAAAATTTGTCCTAAGCAAAGATAATTCGATAATAAAGCCCCTATCAAAGTAGCTTGCTATTGGAAGGCAAAAAAACCACTTTGCTCTTTTGACAAAACGTCTTGCGAGTCTTTAATAACAACTTATATTTGTGTAGCTAGGCTTGGGTGACACAAGACGAAAATGTTGACGCGAAAATCTCTCATTTGGTTGCCAGATTTGAAGGGGTCAGTTGCCATTCTGTTTTAAGGCTCTTGGGTAACGCATTGAAAACCCTGTCATTCGGTCTCAACGCTCAAAGACATTTGACTTTTACTCCATACTTTTGTGACCAAGGACTGGAGAGCAGTTAATGGAACAAATAAACGAAGGCATAAGGACAAGAAGATCAAGAGGGCTATTCATTTTAACTGAGGACAAACTTACCTCGATAATGTCGATTTGCGAGATCCTGATAAAGGAGACGCCCGTAAGAAGCCTTCTTTGTACGGTTCTGCAAATTTTTTCGCTTGCTAAATGGGACATAAAAGGAAACCATGTTATGCAAAAAGATGGTATCTTTATCTCTAGCTTCTGGGAAGTCTTAGTGGAAAGCACATTCTGTTTATCATTCACAAAATAAATAAATACCAAATTAGCAAATTCTGCATTCAAATATAATTGTTTTAACAACTCAGAAGCATTGAAATGTATAGTTGGGAAGAGTTTGAAGGAAGTATGACAAGGGTATGTTCTGTATGTATTGAGATGAGTAGAGTTGTTTATCACAGAAGAGAAAGAGATTAAGCTCTAAGATCCTCCAGTAGTTAAATTCAAAGCAAAAATGTAAACATTCGTAAAAAAATAAGTAGGTTTACAGAATTCAAAATTTGAAACAAATAATTAAGAAAACTGATGGTTAATACATAGTTTATAGGCCTCAATACAGTTCAGCAATCATTGACAAGAATATTCCTGACCATGAAGTGTTCTTATTAGGTTTCCAACTTACATACAAAAAATGATATAAGAAGATGTGGTTACTATAACGGGAAACAAGTAGAAACAACTAGGAAACAAGTAGAAACAAGTAGAAACGACTTGGAAAAATTTTAACTGCAGCACAATTATATTTATTTAGTGGAAATCCTGCATTAATAGCTATGATAGTAGATGTTGATATGGTATTTTTGTAAGAGGAATTAGACTATGAAAGCCTGATACTAAGTGCCAGCATTGTAGAGCAAGTCTCACTGGCATTGGGATTAACATGGAACAACTACCGGGAAGGTCGAAATAAAGCACTTTAAATTCTCGGCTAATAATCGGGCCTTTTTTCCCCTGAATTCAACTGCTTTAGGAACTTACCGGAACTTTATAGAGGCTTTAGGGTTAGGCTCCCAAACAAAACATTGTTCAAGAAGTAGATTGTCAACCTATACAGCTTGTTCCTCTAGTATATTGGAGTTTGTTCTTTTAGTTTCTGTTTTTTTTGCTAAAATTAGCGTTGTAGAAATATAAGTAAGCATTATCACTGGGTTTCCGTAACCGCATCTAAGACAACAGCTTTGCGGTGGAGAACGACATGACCGAATACTAAGGCCACTGCAACGAAGATGACAATGCCCACGTGGATGGATAAGCTTGCCTCGTTTTGGAGATCTAGTCGTTTCTACAAAGTCACAAATCATTTCATGTTGTTTCCTTATCGTTTCTTCTCGTTTGTATTCGTTTCTTGTTGTCTCCTGTTATAGTAAACGCGATAAGAAGACCGGTTCAGCAGTATAACGTAGGGGACAGAGGGGAAGATCGCGTTCACTATAACAGGAAACAACAGGAAACAACAAGAAACTAGTACAAACGAGCAGAAACGATAAGGAAACAACATGAAACGATTGTTGTCTTAGCGGAAACGACTAGTCTCCAAAACGAGGCAAGCTTATCCATCCACGTGAGCATACAGTGTTGCCACACGTAGGGATTTCTACCTACTTTAGGGATTTCTACCTACTTTAGGGATTTTAAAAAGGTTGTAGGGAAAACCTACGGGATTAAATCAAGAAAAGTAGGTAGCTTTTTCTAATTGTAGGGATTTCTTTTAGTTTGCGGCCAAACAATCAAATTGCTTGTTTTTTTATAATCTCGAACATCGATACCACCTATTTCCCCAGTGCAGTTTCCGAAAAGAGTATCATGAGACAATAATTCTCGCACCCTGTTAAACCAGTTGTAAAGAACAGAAGCAAATTAATTACACTCCCCTCCCTTGAGTACTCGCCATAAGATAGTTGTTTCTGCTTGTTTCTACTTGTTTCTATTCATTTTCTGTTATAGTAACCAGGGGGGTAGATTGCCCTTCAGAATGGGGAATGGGAAGTAGGCACAACAACATTTTTTCTTCTCGCTACATGCAGAAAAAACTAACAAAAAGATGCCTACCCTGATGAAATTGTTCTGTATTTTTGTCCAGAGAACAAATGGGAGGGGTACCGTCCAGAGATTGCATCTTCATTAGGATCCCTCGGGTTTGGGATCTCAACGGTCTACTTTACTGACCACGCTGCGGTTAGAATAAGGTTGAAACTCACCTCGAATCTTTCAATCAGAAGTTCTTCAGCCGATGGACGAGCGAACGTGTCATCAATAATGCTGAGGCCCTAGTGGAAGAGATAAGAAATATCAGCTGTGACATGAAGTTAGATTTTTATAAACACACAAACTAAAAATGTACAATTGAATAAAGATACAAGACATTGCCATTGCAAACATGATAGGCATAGGAAGCCTTTGATCTTAACAAGCAACAATGCAGTCATACTTCACGGTATACCATGTATACCATCTTAGGGACAACTGGGTTAAATCAAATGATGCTGACGTCACTGATTTAACAGAAAATTCAAAGGTTTACATATCTTGGTCTTTAAAAATATAGATATATGTTGAATGTTGACTCCGTTATCTTGAATGCTTCACAGGAAAGTTAAAAGACTGGTAGAGAGGGATGAAGCACTACATTTGTTTGTCTTTTGGTGGTGATTCAAGCGATGATTAATGTGATTCAAGAGATGATTAATGTGATTCAAGAGATGATTAATGTGTTTCAAGAAATGTACTGATTCATGAATAAATTTCAGCGTCGATTCTAAAATTTTAGGGGATAATATTTTGTCACCATAAGCATTACGCGCACAACCGTTTCGGGATTTGCCGTTTCGAGACGCGACAAGATCGTTAATCGTGCCAAGAAGATCACACCTGTAAATATCATATGCAAGGCATCGTAGTAATGTTTCATCAAAAGTTACGTCATCCATTAGAAACATTATCCTAATATACAAGTAGAAGTGCGAATTGTTCGCCCGACTGTTGTTTTATTAAATGAAAACATTTTTATGGCGACAAACTTGCAAAATTTGGCTAAAAATTAATTTGTACGAAGATTTACTTTTCCGAAAATTGTTACACCGACAGTTTCTGTTGAAGAATTGGGAGGAGAAATTTAGAAAAACCCAGGACCAAGAAAATGTTATCTGATATCAAATCTGTACTGTGTGAAAATATAATCAAATAAAAAAATAGTCAACAGAGAATGGGATCTTAACTTCAGGTAATATCAGCTTGAAAAATAATAGTCTAAACAAATAGCCAAATATTCTATCAAAAATTGAATAAGCATTTAACCAAGGTTTCTCGTTTTCTCATTTAGCACAATGTTTCTCATTAGTCTCGGATACTGATTTTGCCCAAATCTTACATTTACTGTCTCTGACCATAGCCATTAAGAAAATGCCTTGTCCTAGGAAGGGAGGCTGAAGAAACTGGTCTGTATGCAGGGGCAATAGCAGAAGTGCTAATGTTTGTGATCTAGATCAAAGGAATATGTTGCCTTCCTTGCAAACTCTGAAGATACTTCTGGATTCAACATTAGCTAAAATATTGTTGTTTCGACTTGTTGATTTTGCCAGCCAGGGGTGAAGCGTTGAGATACTCGGTTGTTCCTCCGAAGATCATCCACCCTCACAACGCTGGCACAGATGACAAAGAGAACACAAAAAGAATATTTTGCAAAGAATGCGACTTGAAGAGTTCTAGATTGCTCCACAATCCTTATTAACAGTCAAAAGCACCGACAATTTGATGGAGTCACTTGTGGGTAACTTCATCGCTTCGACCTGATGTCTCTAGCACTTGGGTGTGAAAAAGGGATAGAAAGAACAACAGAAACCAAATCCAAAAATAAGCAGTGTTTTTATTCGGTACAAGATTATCACCTGTACTTCCTATCCACCATTTTCTCTGGCTTATCGATCTAAAATTGAGGCCAAAATCGAGTCTCCTTTGCTTAATATCACATAAAGAATGCAAACTAACTCAAAAAGAACAACAGTCCGCTTTGATATCTAGCCTTCCTTAATGTTTGGTTTTATGGAAAATAAAGAAATCTTATGTTTAGGAGAAGAAGGCGAGTAGAGATGAAAGATCAAATCTATCCAGCATTGTCCTTTTGGGAAAAGTTGATGAACAATAGAAAGGGCAATAGAAATAGCACAAGGCAGTTATCTAAGACAATAGACCTCACACATTTAGGAAACACATGTTGACAAGCATCGGAGACAGACAAAGAAAAATTATGAATATTCTCAAGGTAATTTGGATTATGAAATAAGAGAGTATCGCCGAAACGACTTTTAAAGGCCCAGGGGCCTGCAAATATGTGCAAATATCATAGGCAGCTGGAAGGTACAAAGAAAGGAAACCACCTTATCAACAATGGCAGAACCACCTTAACATATCAGTCACTTTAAAGTTGTAAATCATAAAATAGAACCAATATTAGTAATTAGATAAAACAGTAGACTTCACGCATTAAGAGTACATAAACTTTAAAAGGTATTTTCAAAGGCTGCAGCAACAAAATTTGAAGCAGTGCACATTTAGCAACTATGCTGGCATTCGTCAAGCTGACAAGGAAATATGATCAGCGATGGAAAGTTAGCAAACGGCTGCAACCAGTGGTGTAGTGCTATCAAAATAACAAGGGGGGATATTGCACATAGTGTTGCTCAAAACAATAGCAAAAGTAGAAATTTGTCATACTTTATAATTTGGTCACAAAGTATGCGAGCGTGCGTATTCTGTTTATTCAGCTTGAATAATATAAGCATTTGCAGTAATGCATCAATACAAAGCAGCCCTGGTTTAAATTCAATTACATTCTTTTTCTTTATAAGAACACACTTTATGAAAACACTGTGGTTCGATTTCCCAAAAATAGGAAAAAGCCTCAAGTAAAAAAGTAGAAAAAACACTGTCATTGAAAATTCCCTTTTATTATAACAAAACAGAACCGATTTTAGCAGCTAATCAACCATGCCTGTGAAATATCACGCGAAAGAGTTATTTAGTGGACTTAAAAAACCTGTTTATTGAAGGAAGTTGAATAAAATCAATGTTGAAATAATAAAAACAATGTTAAAGGCACACGAGATTCAATTTTCGAAAAAATAAGAACATCGAGCATCGGCAAAAATTACCCCGTTTTTATTAAAAAAGAGTGTACTTGCTGGGGTAACATTGAATTCAAAGTGCTTTTCGATTTGTTAAAACACAAATAGAAAATTTTAGACTTACATCTGACGTTCTACTGAAATCGTCTCCTTGGTTCTCTGGGCCATGCTTTGCGATTCCTTTCCAAGTTGTGAAAAATGTGTGCAACTGGTTGACCCTTTGAAAAGAAGTCAAACAATGGTATCATACAGTAGTCGTGAACGAAGAATTCATAAAAAAGAAATGATCGAAAACTTAAGTATCATCCTACCATTTAGTGCGCACCATTCTGAAGCGATCGATTCACGTGAAAGACTGCGTAATCAAAACATGGTTATTTTATAAGACAGCTAATTCCATTCACACTTTAACGATGCACATGACACCTTGAATTTACTCCACACAATGCAATAATACAACACATAATGCTTGATATTAAAAACATGCCCCGACAAGAGAATTGTTAAAGGAAACGAAGAAGCATATCAAGAGCACTAAAAACGTTTTTAGCAGGTGCTATTAACTTCAAATGCAACATACAGTAGCTTCAGCTAAGCTACGATGCTTGCCAAAAGTCTTGGAAAACCAATAGTATTTTTCTCATTCCCATTAGCTGTTTTCCCTCTTTCCTTTCAAACAATGCTGAATTATTCTCAAAAGAAATAAACTTTTCGAACGAAACCTGTATTTTCAGACATTAGAAAAACCAAAGTGAATTTCTAACATTGTTTTAGGGAGAAGGGGGCAACTCAGCTCATTCTTCAGGGCGAATTGCAAATTGATCGAGAATTGACTGAAACTGCTTAGGCGTTCCAACTACTTTTGCCAAGCTGCGAAGAAAAATGCTCCTAATGAAAGGCGCCTCTAGTTCGTTCATGCCCCAGGTTCCAGGCGCGGCGTTTCGATGTATAAAGTAACTGCTGGTCGTTCACGGTTCTAAACCGCGCCCTCAATTGCACGTGCGAAACCTTAATAAAATTGACGGTGCATATTCAATTGACCTCACTATCTCCATTGAACAATTATGACACTATCTTAAACCGATAACGAAGATCATATGGTGCTAGAACCGACACTTTATTTGCACTCCTCAAGATACATTAATTACACTAATAACAGGGCTTCAATAACCGTTGTACAGCATTTGCATCTGTTTAACACAGCAACAGCAACCGTTTTATCCATACCACACCTTAATCATATGGCAGGCCATCGTAAATTGGAGCTTAACAAAATTTTGAAAGTCTTAATATTCTTTAAAGGATAAGTTTTGCAAGAAAATTACTTCTCATTACATGGTATGTAACCATAATTTGGAAAATATATTCTTGCAAAAATTAAAAAAGCAGGTTGCTCAACATATTTGACAGAAAGATGTCACTGATGATAAAAGAAAACACATATGGGAAATCAAACTTTAAATTAACCAAAAACAGGAAATAATAATAATAATAATATCATATTTATACAGGTTAACTTTGGTCAGCAACAACGTGCTGTTATCAATAAAGGACCTGTTGTAATCAAACTGTTTATACCGATTGAATATAAACGATTGCCCTATTGTTGTTAGAACCCTATTCTGGCGTTACTCGGTAAATTTTCATGTTGATAGCAAAGATCGTTGACAGTTACACAATATCTCAAAAGTTTGATAAAATTTTTAGGTAGAAAAACAGTTCCCTTTGCATCCTGCACTTTCCCTGGTAAAGCATCTTTCATTTTGGCTGGTCATACAGACCTTTTTGAGTCCCTCCTTGTGACAAGAAGCTCTAAACTTCACCGTTATTCCTCCTCGGTCAATATTTTACTTCTGGATGCAGGAATTTATGGATACATGCTTCCCCAGTTCTGCTTTTTAAAAACAACTAGCACTAATTGAAAAACCTTCTTCAATTTTGATGTTAGGTATAAAGCAGTGCTGAAGAGTTTTTGCTTCCGTCCCAATTCACATGTTATTTTATTGGTTAAGATGGCATTGTCCCAGACCGATATGACCCCTTGGATCAATATGACCCGAGAGTCATATCGGTCCAGACCAATATGACACCAGGGTCATACCGGTCCAGGGAGGGTCATATTGGTCTGGGCAAGAAGAATGAATTTGAGGCTTTATAATAGGAGGTTTCTGGTAGGCCTACAGTTGCTGGTTTGAATTTATCAAATCCGAATTCCACAAATCTGAATGTGCCAAAGCTTGTTTGACTTGTTCAAAGCTTGTTCAAAATATGTTTTGGACTAAGCCAAAAAATTGGCTTATTTTAGATTTATCTGGGCAATTCTCCAAATTGGCTGAATATTTGAATTTTTTAAGCAGCCGTTGTTATTCCTCTGCTTTAATTGCCTCTAAGTGAAGCACCTTTTTGTCGATCATTTCCAATGAGACCTTTGCGTTTCCTTCGTAACGTAAAACTGAGAAAGATAGGTGTAAAAAAAAATTCAATCCAATGATGTTGCAGCTTGAATCGCTTCGCTTTTGATAGTGCCATAAAGGCCTTACATTTTTGATAACAAAAATAAATTTTTAATAGGCAGCATTATAGTTGCCATTTTGCATTCTATCTTTGCGCATTGTTGAGTTCCTCGTTTTATTCTTTAAATCTACTTTCTGAAAGTATATATTCGTTTGTCGCCCGTGAAGCAGCTTTGCTACCGTGGTCTCTTCATTTCATTGGAATTTGTTAAGCTTCTATCATGGCCTGCGCGCTGCAAAAATGCATTCAAGTTGTGTCAATCAACAATAGGCATGAACAGCGCCAAACAACAAAGAGCAATCCAAAGTAAAAGTTTCTAAAGATTATCTAATTCCCCGGAGAGGCTGGCAGGGTTTTCGCTTGCCATTTCTTAAAACAAATTGCAATCGAGGCTGGTAACCTCGGGGGTCATATTGGTCCAGTTGGGGTCATTTCGGTCTGGGAGTCATATTGGTCTGGACCGATATAACCCTGGAGTCATATTGGTCTGGGAGTCATATTTGTCTGGAACAGCATCAATGTCCTTGTTATGATTATGTACTTATGATTCAGGCCTTGTAGAGAGTGAAACACGTCGAAGAAGTGCTTTTCTTTCCATATTTTCTTTCAAGAACAGAAATTAAAATTTCAATCAAAATAAGAGAGGGTTGAAAAAAAGAGCATTGAAAATTTGAAAGCGCCGGGATAAAAATGTGTCTCGGATTTAATTAAATACCACGTAATTTGGCCAGCCCGTGAAAATCTACTCCTGTACAAAATTTCGTGGCAAGTTAATTGAGATTTAGTACGGCCTTTTTCCAGGTCATGCAAGCTTCTCCAACCACAGGTTTTTCTTTTAGAAGGCCTAATTCAACTGCCAACAGAATTCATAATAATAATCATAACATAGACTGATCACAGCATCCCAGTGTCGAACTGATTCGATTTGCTTCTCATTACACCGTTTAACTTGTCCCATTGCGCCAGTCCGCAAATTACATCTATGGCATTTAGAGTTAGAGAAGAGCTGGGACCAAGTTGTTTTAAGCCATAGAAATTTAGTTACTGCGTATAGAGTTTTCTTGGTATAATTCGAATGATGACAATTCTGCGATCTATACACACGTGACGGTGCGCCCAGACAAGTTGGCACATACGGCGGTCCTGTTGCATTTTAGTTTAAGTGTACCATGAGAATATTTGAAAAATATCGGTAAAACGTTTAGACTCTCGATACTTTTCTTGCTTTTAAAAAAGAATGCAAAACTTATCGTTCTTACCTTTTGGAGTCATTAAACCGGAACTTAGTGACAGGCAACACACTGCAAAGCGAATTCAACTTGAACAAACCATCTAACAAAGAGTCAAATATTATCCACAGCATTAGAATACAAATCTCTCTTCGTTTCAGCCACTTTGAAATTAGCCTCGTTTTTACCACAGACAATCATGCACCAATAAAAATCAAACTTTGTGTTCGCACCGGTAGTCTATCGATTAACGACGGAAAATCGATGTTTTCATAACCATCGCTCTCAAACAAACAACCATCTTTAAAGCGAAAAATAGACTGCTTTCCATTGTAGATACTGCATTGGCATCCCACAGATTTTCAGATCTTGCCCTCAAGGTAATTGAAAGACACTCATAGCAAATGGCATCATCGATAGCGCGTTTCAAAAGACCAACAAACCTGGTATATCGTTCGAGAATGGAATTCTCAAAATTTTCGAACGGTCGATTCTTACGATTTCGCCTTTCAATCGCATTTGTTTCGATACCGAAAGCGATTTGGATGATAGGTTTATGATAACTGTGCACCACTTAGTTCGTCAATTTGCGTTTTTTAATTACTGATACTGAATTACTGAATAGTGATTCCAAGGTCCATGATCAAAGATACGAGGCTCTCATCTCTCCTTAACTGGGGTTTATACAGGCAGTACGCATCTTCTATAAGCGCTAATTTCCATTAAACTTCAGTAGCTAGTTGCATAGTAAGATTCTTTCCGGTTCTATATACAAAAGACTGTAAATTGTCATACACAAGTTTTACGACCGAACTCTTTCTCACACCAAAACCAAATGTTTGGTGTCCTTAAGCTCTGAAAACATTAAGCTTCGAATAGGCTGCCTCCACAATCTGAGTCTAATTGACATGATTCATCAAACATGCAATTGCGATAAATCGAACACATCCAGCATGGGCACTTAAGCCCTATTGCAACTTCCATGTCAAATAATCAACTATCATGCTAGAAGACAATCCAGGTTCTAATGTGGGCAAGACGGGGAGCATCGCATTTTTGCCTGGAAATGTTTCCCTACAGAGCCTTCTCTACTGGTGTTAGCTCAGTGGCAGTTGCTGTTTGAAAAGGTTCAAATCAACAAATAATATTTCTTCTACCAAAATACAATTAATGTTCCTGCAATTTTCAGGACTATCCGAATGAAAAAACCTGCTCACAATAACTTTATCAGAAAAATGAAACTTTTCTCTCTGCTTTGATAAATAAATCCTTCGTAAAATGGAATTAAACATAACCCCCAGATTACACATTTCAAATGAGCAGGTTTCTACAAATCTAATACAAATGACAAATAAACTGTGTTCTCAGCTTTGAAGGACACTTGTTAGAACCCTTTTAAAAAGAAATGCTGCAATCATGTATGCTTTAGATACCCGCACGTGAAATTAACCAGCTGCTGCCTCGATGCAAGATAAAACTTGAAATAAGCGCCTTTTCCGCCTTGGAAAGACTTACGTATTGCCAGAAAACAGCAGGACCACGCGCCTCGTTTGCAAATAGCCTCGTTTGGGATCTTCTTAAAGGCAGAACAGCGCTATACATTTCACAAAATGGTTGATGACATGTTTGCAAGAAAAATGATAGAACCGAATTATCCAAAAAACCTTGTGCACTGTTAGTGAAGAATGTTTCAATGTAACTGTGACTGACTGGTTTCAACATTGCGAGAAGTATTTCTTAAAGAAGTAATGAACCAGAAATAACAGCCTCAATTTTGGCAATAGGCTGAAAGGAGCATAGCGGAATAATCTTTTGATTGGCTGAAGCGCTACCATTATGAATTTATGCAAATTAGCCTCGTGCTATAGAAATCAATGGGGAAGCTGCGGCCAATCAAAAGATTATTCCGCTATGCTGTTGATGTTGTCTTTCAAACCGATGAAATGAAGTCATCCATTCGACCCTCATGGAAAAGAGCCCAACCACTGATAGGTCAAAAACTTATTTAGTAACAAATTCCGAAGCAATGCTAGCCTAATATGTTACTATGATTTATCTCCCATGACAAGTCTCTCAAGGCAGACATGATCGTAAAATTTTAAGTAGGCATTACCTTTCCTGGGGAACAGCAAACCAGTGTTCCATCCTCTGCTGATCTCTGTTCTGAGGAATCCCCATGATGTGCGTCTCCAAGTTTGACGGTCTGCACCAATGTGCTTTGTGAATCCTGAGACAGAGATAGACCAGCTCATCTGCAGTGAGTGAAGCAGGGCGAGGTTTTGACAATTCCATTTGACTTGTGTCCATGGTTTCTATAGACAAAAGGTATTTTCAATCATATTTATCAAGTTCAACACGAAAGTAGGATAGATGGTGGAAGGTACCTACTACCCCACTTGACAACCAGCTTCTGTTAAAGAAACACTGTCGAATTTCCACAATATAATCCTATTTATTCGGACGTTTTCAAACAGCTGTTATCAGTGATATTGAAAGTAGTAGGGAAAGTATTCAGAGAAATGAGAAAACCCCAATAGCGAAAGCCAAAGCAGGGGAAAAATCTTAGCTTTATCATTTCTTAATCATTAAAAAAAGGTTGGTTGAATATTATTTGTGGACGATTTACGTCTGTCGAATTTTTCCTTTCTTATCTTTTATCACGAAATTATTCTGCTAGTTTAAACAACAATATTCTACACTGCAGGATTACTGACGAGTGGCCTAAATTTTTGAGAAGGCTCTTCGGGCATACCAACTCTGGAAAGTCATAAGAGAAACTTAGGTAAGGCATACTTACCAGTAAAATGTCCCTCATCGTCACTATCAGCGCTATACCGAATGCCTCGTTTGCCAAGCCACTGCCTCGCTTCATCGCTCAAACTTGATGATTTTGGTGACATGGGCCTATTTCCCACATCATTAGTAAGACCATGCTTTAAACTTGATCTCGTGGACGTAAAACTTGTGCCCTCTGATATTCCACTGTCTCTACTCGCGTCAATTTGAGACAAAGATTCCCCTTCAATGAAAGAATTAGCATTGCCTTTATCACCGTAAACATACGAATCTTCGAGTTTCCCCGATGCCTCTAACTTTATTGCATTTCCAGTTAGTTTCTTCATAGAGTTTTTCGGCTGGATTTTTGTGTATATTAGTCCTGAGTCGTCATGCATTGCAACTTTAGAATTTTTAATACTGTTTTCTTGGATTTTGCGGGGTGTGCTAGTGCACTTTGTGTCCATAATATCGATGCTGTCTCGCGCTCCTTCTGCGTGTTTCTGCGTGTTTTCATTTGATTGTTTTGTAAATATATCTGAATCTTTTATGGCGCCGTCCATCCGATCGTGATTTGTAAATGAACCACGAGACGAAGATGTCTCAGCCGTATAAATCGAATTAACAATATCATTTCCTTTTACTCTTCCTTCAACAGTTAGATTGTCCAAATCTGATCCAGTTTTGGAACTTTTCGTACAATTACAGCTAGTAAAAGTGTCGTCTTGAGATAAATTATCAGATAATGTAGAAGTTTGTGACAACGGTATCTGGTCTTTCTTCGTTTCGTCGAAACGAGAGTTCGTTCGATCTATCGATTCCAAAGAATACCTTTCCCTCATGTCTGAAAAATTGGATTCAGACAACATACCAATTGTATCTTGTGATACATAATTGCTTGTGTTCATTGAAAGATTGTCCCTTTCTGCCCAAGTTTTATGTCCTGACGTCACCAGTTTTGGTATACTAGGAAAAAACAATACATTCTTTGAGATCAAAATTTTCCTGTAAAACACAGTACAAATACTCATCATTAAGATAAGAATGAAATTATTAGATATTTAATAATCTTCTAGAGGAAATAACATTTCAGCATTCAAAACAGAAAGAAGTTAACAAGCAGCTAAATACCACGAAACCAATAATTTAGATATGTTTAAAACTTAAAGAACATAAGAAAATCTTTGATAAAACAAGAGCAAGATCATTTGAAAGCTAATAATATAGCAAAAAACTTTAAAGATAGAAGAGAAAACATTAGTGAGCTAAAATCAAGCTAAAATTATCATAACTTTAGTGTTACAAGAGCGTCAAATTCGCATAAAAAAAAATAAGTTGAGGAATATATGTAAAAAGAAAATAAAATGTTAAAGGACATGAAAAGAACAATTTTAAGAGAGTTCACGTTTACATGAAATGGTTTCTAATATTTACAAGGACTTTCGCACTGCTGACAACAGAAAGATAAGATGGAGTTTAAACATAAACGCGAATTCACAACTCACAATTCGGCGGATACGTCTCCCAAAACCATGGCTGCTATATCATTGTAATATGCAATGCTTCTCGTTGCTTTCATTGGACATTTTACCGTGTAGGCATCCCGCCCTCTGTCAATGACCAAATGGTCAGAGACGCTTGGGTTAAACATGACCGTCTGGGGAGTCACAAGCAGAACACCTGGTACCACGCCCTGAAAGGAAACACAATACAGGAGCTATCTCAAATGTCCTCAGTTCCTCGTCTTTGTATCATTCCTTTCTAGATATCTAGCTCAAACTCTCATATTTGTTTGATATTAAAACCGTTTTTATTAAAACTTCTATCAACATTTGTTTGGATTTTATTGAAATTTAGAAAATTTTTTACATTAAACAACAATTTTACAAAAATTTCATAGAAAGTTAAAAAATTTTCTTTATGGGTAAATAGTTTTGCAGCTCATACATTGAAAAACAAAAGAAAGAGTATATACCTGTTATCAAAACATCCAATGTAAATAATACACAATTTTATAAAACTGCGATTTTTTATACAGGGGACTTTTTAATGACTAAATAATACTAGTAAATAACTGTGGCACGACATAGGCTGCCATACCTTACTAAAATGCATATTAATGAGTTTACGCATTATCATGGAAATTCAAGGACGGATAAAACTATAAACAGAAGGAGGCTACTCTAGGGATAAAGCCAAATTTTCACATGTCCCAAAAACCTCACATTTTTCATGTTTCTCGGTATTAAGATTCTAATGTCATTGTTCGAAGACTGCTATAAGAAGAGGGAGGCAAAGAGAGAGGTTTGTTGTTCAGAAGAGTAAATGTTTATCTATTTTCGATGCAACTCAAGGGGTTGCATCGGTGGGACAGAACATGGCAGCATCAGAGTTGGCACGATGCTTTATTCCCAAGAGGTTCAACCACCTGATAATGAAATTGCCAAGATTACCTGTCCATCCGTGATGTATCGTCCATTTATTCTTAGATATTTCTCAGAAACTTCATCCTTTCCATTATCACTCTTCCTTAAAAGTTCTTCCATTTGAAAATCAGGACTCAAGGACTGTGGGAAGAGATACAACTATTTCAAACAAGAAAAGCTCGCATCAACCACTTAACAATATTTTTAATAATACTTGCTACAGCAAGCTTAATAATATTTTCATTCAACTGAGCACTGAACATTCAATATGCAATATTAAAGTATTTGTATTGAACAGGTCTGTGAAATCAATATAATATAGATGCTTTAGTTAAATCTTTGATAGGTTTATTTACAAGATCTTTTCAAATGCTTTTACATGGTTTTATACTGTTGCAAAATCAGATCAGCTTTCAGATGGTTAATCGAGTAGAAACAATGCTTTTGAGATCAGAGAGTGGCGATCACTGATACATTTAAGGCCGCAGAAATCTACTGCTTCCGTTTCTTAGGCCGTGGTGTACATTTGAGATTAAAACGACTTTATTCAAACCGGCTAGTATTGCGGATGAATTGTAGAGTCAAATTGAGAATGCTTCCATTGGCGTGATAAGGGAAATTTTCATTGCCATATAGTAAAAGCTGAGTTAGAGCCATATTTGACAGGTTTGTAGGTCCAAGAGGTCGTAATATGTCCAGTAAGACTCCAGCAAGAAGAACTTGTCGTTGAGCAGCGAAAGAAGGGCAAAGCAACAAGAAATGTTCCGCGTCCTCAATGCCATCATTCGAAGGGCACATTGGGTTTGAAGTATCCCTCAAATTTTGTTTGAATTTGTGACAGTTTAATTTGCTTAGACGAACTATAAGTTGAGTGAGAATGGATAAACCTATTGGATCATGGATTCCGAAGACAGACTTTGCAGCGTATCTTGAAATCGGAAATTGAGCGGCGTATCTTGCCATTGATCAACTTGCCAATCGTGAAACCTTCTCATTTTGAAACATGAGATGTAACATTAAAGAATCGTCCGCTTAAGAATTCGTTTACATTGAAAATTCGTTTCTCTCGATTTGTTCTCTTTACTAGCGCAAACTTTATGGTTATCTCAAGAAACACATTCAAAAACAAAACAATAAAGCAATGCTAAAACACAGAATCTTTGCCACGACAGTTTCTACATTCATAACGTTCGTCGAAATTACCTTACCTTCATCCGCATGCTGTGCTACGTTGGATTGGAATATCGGTATAAAACTAATTCAAAACTTCTTAACAGAAACCAGTCGGTTTAAAGTGACATGTTGAAGGTTCGTAACTAAATGACATTATCTGAATAGGACTGACGGTCTATTTAACCATAAGCTGTAAATCCAAGAATCTTTTTAGAAATATAAAGAATATAAGGGAAAAGATTGATCCTATTATACGCTGGAATTGCACAAAAACCAAATTGTATTGAAAGCTTAGCTTTGAAAACTTAGAGACACTTATCAGTTTATGAGTGCGAGATTAGAGAACTTGGCCGTGCCTGTCCAAACTAAACTGAACAAAAGCAAAAGGTAATGAGTTTCCCAGACCTGATTGTCTCAAGCAAAAGCACAAGAAATGCTTTTTAAAATTGTCAACTGTTTACTTGATACGGGTGCCACATTGTACCAAGAAACTTTCAATTTACAATTCTGAATTACTTTGTTGTAATAATTAAATTCAAATTGTTGGTGTACTGAACACTGACTTAAATCAAAATAGGAGCAATTTCTTTTCGTAAAACTAGAACAACACACTTGTTTTCGAAAAACAGGCTTACTGCAATTGCGTAAAAAACGAAATGCAATAAACTTGCTCGTTTTGTTGATAAAATAGAAAAATTATTTTCGAAAAATCATTTTCGCCGACATGAAGGATTGAATTCAGGAATATAAAGTATTTCATACTAAAATTTGACAGACGTGTTGTTGAGGTTCCATGGCGACAGGACAAGAGAACTCTGGGTTTTCAGTCTTTGCTTTGTCGTGAAAAAAGAGCAGGTTATTTAATTTCAAACCTCAATCCCGGACAGAAGATGTTGGGATTTATACCCCTTCCCCCAAGTTCACTATGGTCCTCGATGGTAACTTTCCCTCTTATCCTGATAACGAGTATTATGTTGTTAATGTATTTTATTCAAGAACAAAAAATAGCATTCTGGAAACAAATGTCGTACTTACGTCCTGCCTGCCTGGAAATGGCCGCGTCTTCGGTGGTTTGGTGACGAGTTCCAGTTCATCTTTCTGCAGCTTTTTCTCGACCTGTCTCTCAAGCAAGTTTATTTTCACCGGCACAAACAATGTCTGGAAAACGAAGATTATAAATCACAAACACCAATATCAAATCACATCTGACGATACCGAGATAAAATAGACGTTTAGAAGAAACAAAGCAACAATGTAAAGGTGAGTTTCAGAAAAATCATAACTTTAACACTGGTGTGGGAAACAAAGTAAAGGAAACAGTTGATATGGATCTCAGAGAGCTATGTTTGTCATTCCAGAGAAAAGTTCATTTGTTGCTTGTTGGGGCAACGAAACTTTAGTTCAGGTCTCATGGAAGGACAATGACAAAAGAAAACTCAAATGGAAGATTTCTGTTTCTATGGCTCGGAGAAAGTTGCGAAAAGTATCTTGTCTTAGGAGCACTCCGACTTTCAATGGACATACATTTCCATAGGTAAAGATAAAGTGAAATAAGGATCAGTTTTAAAGCATGGCTTCTATTTCCCCTCTTCATTTTCTCCAATTTTAGACAAATTGATTACTCTAACTTTTTGTCCCTGTCTCTTCGTAACCGGGTCTTAAAAAATACGCAATAAAGATGCACTTAAAGAAGGGAAAGTTGCCCCGCTGTCCCCTATGACAGCTTTTTTTGTAAACTTCCCCTTTGTATTAGGGATAAATGCTTGTCCTTTCGGTGAAGTCACTTAGTAAATGCCTTGCTGGAAAATTCAATACCATTGCAAAACAAACACAAGTGAAAATAAAATTGTGATTTATCAATATGTAAGCACTGTGAAACGTCCAAAAATCTAGTTGGAACTACTAATGAACTATGTATAAAATAACATGCACATTGTCCTTTTCATATTCCATGTGGGGATCCTTTAGGTGAAAATTGTAATTTAAATCTTTGGTATGCCCTTATTTGAAAAAGACCTCTTCCAGCCAAATTACAATGGCTGGAGTGTTTTGATCAAGACCAACTCCTCTGCATAAGGGAACTTGTAAATATGTTTTTAAGTATTTCAAAAACAGATTATTCAAAACCAGTGAGACAATAAGATAAGAAAGAGATATGTTTTGGTGGACAAACTGAAAGCTACGACAGAACTTGAAGTCTTCAAACTAATAGTTATACACTTGAACAACCAAAATTCGCAACAATAATACCTAAATTTATGTTTAGATTCTTACTCAAATAAAATCAAAATAAATTGCAAGGGTTAAAGGGATCAAACACCTTTTATTTTCTCTTATAATGAGATGACTCTTAATAACAAATATTGCTCTAGAAATAAAGTATTTTTTCTCTGAATAACATTTAAAACCCTTCGCCTAAAGGGTTAGTGTTTGATTATTGTCATAGCCCGAATCACTTTCATTAATTTAGTTGCAAAGAGCATACACATTCGTATTTTCAAATACCAGAATTCGAGAAAAAACATTTCGCATCTAGTAAGTGACAGACCAAACTGTGCACAGTTAGAACAAGATTCTGGAAAAATATGGTTCAAATTCATACCAAAGACATTAACTCAATTCAACTCAACTTATGGTAGCTATCACCCATAAGTTGGGCTTTGTTGACAAATGTCACGACGACAGTTGCTTAAAGAGCCGTATATAAGGGAGGCGGAGAGGGCCTCGAAATGTGAAAAAACGTAACGTCCAGGATTATCTATCCACTTAAGTTAACTTATTTGCAAGGCTGGTAACACATTGATTTTTCATTCTCTCATTATCTGTTTCCACTTGATTCGCTCTGGTCGCTCGACTTGGCGAAATCGAATCAACAAGTCAGCGAATCGGCGAACGCGATCAGTCGCCCAGTAGTTCAACTGATTTCAACTACTCAGCGAACGGTCGCGCATTCGCAGCGAATAAGGAAGTTCAAATTTGCGAATGCCCTAATGTACATTCGCTCAGTCGCGCGACCAGAGCGAATAAAGTGGAAACTTGCCTTAAAATGATGTCCAGTGACAGCTGATTCTTGACCTTGGGTGTAGTGGCCTGGGAGAACCCCTAGTCTGTTGTCTGAGCCCCGTTCTAAGCAATTAAATAATTTTGGGTTAAAAATGATTTATAAAGCTTAGAACTGCATTGGCAATAATAAATGACTGCCTAAAAGCACAGTCAATCAGATAATTAAATCTAATTTAATGAGCATCCCTAAAAGTAAAACCAAATTTTTCGCTATTTAAAGGGATGAAAAATTCTCAGCCTTAAAAGGTCGCTGAATACCACCACATCATGTCATTTTTGGGTGCTCAAAAAGAAAGTGAAGCTACTAAAATTTCTGCCACGATGTAGACAAATAGAGTACATCTTATCACATGTGATTTCAATGCCATAAGATAAGACAATAAACAACTAGGCCTTACCACCACCTTCGAAATTGATCCACAGCAAGATGAAAATGACGCCGCCATGTCTAAATTTATCTACAAGACGGCAATTTAGGCAAAATAAAATAGGCCATATGACCAGAGTTGCCCTAGCTGATCATGGTGTCCGCTGACCACGTGAGAGGTTCTATTCTTTATCAGAACATAAAACTTTGTACCGTTATCCAAGTTGGAGACGCAATGACTCGTGATTGTTTCTATTTTCTCTTCTTCTAACAACACACTTGTACACCAAATATCAATTGTAGGGTTTGAAACAATTAAAACAATTTTATGAGGCTACAAATCAAGACATTAGCCCGCGTAACTTGATCAAGCGATGAACACCGCACGGGTGGCGGGATTTATGATTTTTCAGGTGAAAACAATGTGGTTATACGGCTTTCTAGAGGACACATTGATGCGCCTGCTCTTGGCGGGAAGAACTGTGCAAAGAAGAGGAGCAGAAAAGAGGGGTGAAGCAGTAAGAGAAAGTAACATAAGACTCGCCCTTGAGATCTGGTGGTGTCGGTTAGAAAAAGCAGGATAGGTCAGTCGAGGATAGCCATGATGAAATTTTCAAAACAATACGTCGCAACGCCATTTGTTGCTTCTTCGGGGCCAAGATAAGCAAAATTAACGAGTTAAGGGGTAATGAATGGCTATTGAAAGAGAGAACAAGCCAACCAAGTGGCATGGAAAAGAGGCTGGAAGTAATTTTTTTATCCAAGGGCATAAATGCTCCAATAGCGGATAGAGAGGGATCATGGGGAATATGAGAAGAACCAAAGATGATTGAGGTGCAACCTCTTCCTAGTGAAGTTGGTTTTGACTTCAGGTCTTGTGAAATGAAAAGTTTTAAAGTGACTTTACTCAATGTAAACGAAATTTTGGAGACCACGAGAAACATTAAAATCTAATAAAATTCTTTAGTAACGGAGTTTCTTGCTTTTCAAGAAGCAGTAAGATGATAAACAAGTGGTGTCTCAAGAAAATACCTTTCTGGGGGTTTTCAACAACGTCACTTTTGTACTTCAAAATTCACAGCTGTTTCTATTTGCAGAAAAATCTACAATTAAGAGAATACTCAGAATTAAACTAAGTGTAAAAAATTTGAGTCCCTAGCTGATCTTGAGAAAAAAGAACGCCCTTGGGCATGTCTTTCAGAAAATGGTGAACAAATTATAGGAAACACCAGAACCCCTAAAGCCCAAACAGCCCTAACAGCTGTGGAAAAGTTTGATGAGATCAAAGGTAATGATGTTATGAGGGGAGCCGACGACGATTAATGATGATGATAATGATAATGGTGATCAGGACGGCGATTACAAATAAGGTGTACGCTTCAAAATAAGTGATATTTATAAGCGAAATAGCATCTTCCAGAAGCAAAGGAGCCCAGGGCACGAGGGGCATTGTGTCTCGGCACAAGGGGAACTGTGTCTCGGCGCAAGGGGGAACTGTGTCTCGGCGCAAGGGGAACTGTGTCTCGGCGCAAGGGGAACTGTGTCTCGGCGCAGGGGGCATTGTGTCTCGGCACAAGGGGAACTGTGTCTCGGCGCAGGGGGCATTATGTCTCGGCACAAGGGGGAACTGTGTCTCGGCGCAAGGGGAACTGTGTCTCAGCGCAGGGGGCATTGTGTCTCGGCACAAGGGGAACTGTGTCTCGGCGCAGGGGGCATTATGTCTCGGCGCAGGGGGCATTGTGTCTCGGCACAAGGGGAACTGTGTCTCGGCGCAAGGGGAACTGTGTCCGGCGCAAGGGGAACTGTGTCTCCCTCTAGATTTTGCGAGTGCTTTCCATGAAGAGTGAGTCCCCCTTTTTGCGTCGAACTTTTACTGTCACAGTGTTTATCTGCCAGAATCCAACGGTAAAAGGTTGGCATGATAAGTGCTCTTCCAAAAGCGCCCTCTCAAGTTATATAAGGGCCTATCAGGCTTGCTACATCCCGGTTTTCCTCTATGTGTGGTGAAACACCACTAGGTTGAAGTGACCATTATTCAGTCACGTGGGACATCGTTTAAAGAAAAGGATTAAAGGGATAATCCTAGGGAACATATGCCGGAGATACAAATCATATCCCACTTTCTAGCCGTTTTGGTTTAGCGAGGTAGGTGGTGTATAACTGTAAATAAAACACTGGTAAGATAGAAAGAAAAAGCTTATGTTTTACCTTCATACAACTTGACATAAAATTCCACGATCGGTGATACCTAGCAACAATCGCCAATGTTGCGTCATAGTCACTAGATTCCATATCAACAGTGAATTTACTAGCATAGCTTCCGTACCAAGGTCCCGATCAAACAATTAGGCCAACGACTGTTGTGATACACATAAGAAGCCCTGAGCATCGATGATCAGCCAACAACCCGCTACTAAACTAGGGGGCTTTAAAACAAGTTTCAACGGCGCCTACTCCAATGTCTTCTTGAACCCGGAATCATCGTTTTTGTGCACGAAACTTCTGAAGATCAAAGGTCGGTTTTCACTTTGCTTCAAGATTCAACTTAGAAAATAAATTTGAAACAGGAGCTGGGATAAAAATTAGAGAGAAAAAAAGGGAAGGATGCTTTGTTTAAGCTTTGCTCATGAATTGTTAATATGAATTTGGAGATTGGAAAAAAAACAATTAAGAACCAGTTATGATCTTATGGCTCTGAAAAAGCCTTCCCACGTGATTCACAGCATGATAGCGACACAAATGAGTGAAAAATTGGGAGTATCAAGAGTGGAGGAACGTTGCATAACATTGAGATGTTCATTAGAACGTAACTTATGAATACCGAGTGTCGAACACCAAGTATGTAAATGGACACGCACTTCTGATAACTCGAGAAGCTGCCTAAGTAGAAAGGAAGGCGGCATGAATGGATAAGAGCTACGTTGCAAAATTAAGAAAGACAATGCATACAGTGGCGCAGTGGGAGTTAACTTTTTGGGGGGGCAAAGCTGAAAATTTTCCGATAAAACTATGATTTTTCCGACAAATTTTTTCTCAATACATTCCTTAAAGATTACCCTTGCTGCATATACTGCAACACATGATACTACAATATCACGAATGGATCTGGAAATCGTTAACGAATGGATCGTTCGTTATACACCTTCAAGTTCAACAATAGCCTTTATTCTAACAAAACTTACCAAATATAAATCGCTATAAACAAAACTGCAACTAGTTATAAATTTACACCCTACAAGTCTTCTCGCTATACTAGACAATAAACTGTCAAGTTAATGTTTATAGCTGTTTATAGCAAAAAGTTTTTTTTGGCAAATTTTAAATCGCATCAAATTTACTTTGCATTTATTTATGCTAAACCTTAAATAGATATAACGCGTCCAAAAGAATAGTTTTCTTTTAACTGAAATTTATATAAACTGTTACTCAAGCAGCATCTTTCTCAAAAAGGTGTGGCAGCATACAAATCGATGATGTCACCATGGTCTATCGACTGTAAAATATCACTTTCGACGTTGATTGTTATCAGAGAGGAAAGGCGGTCTTGTCCCATCGTTGACCGTAGCCGATTTTTTTACAATCCTCAGCTTTGAAAAAGCTCTTTCATACTTTGTTGAACCTATTGGCAAAGTGACGAGAACCTTGTAAAGAAGGACCAGCTGTGGAAAGGCACTTTGCAGGTTATACTTATCATCAACTGAAGAACTGAATGGAACTGAAAAGTGTTCTCTTTCTCCTGCAGCCGGGAGAGGGCTGCTCTTTTCTCTAACTTTCCAAAATTTACGGTAATTATTGACGAAAGAGCTGTACTCATCTCTTAATTTTTCGTCATCCAGGCCGTAATTCTTCGCAACCTTTTTGAATTACACTGCACACAACTGCCTTTCAATTTTTTTTGAAAACATTCAGGGTTGAGCAAGACAAAATCTGTCAAAATCGCCTAAGAGACGTGAATCTTGTATTCATTGAGCTGATAGCTATAGCCACTATCACAATGATATACGGATTCCCTATTTCCCTCTAATTCATCTATGCAATTTTCCCCTGGCGTCTTTTTCTTTCTGCGTATTCGTCGCTCGACAAAATTTTCCTCTTCTAAGTCATGGCGAATATATTAACTTTTTGCGTCTTCTACAACATCAGCGAATTCATTTCGAAATGAACTGAGTTGAATTGTAACTGTCAGAAATTGGAGTTTATGAAATAACTGAGACCAGAGCGTTAATTTCCTTTACAAATTTCAGCAATGCGATGATTCCGATAAATACTCTAATGAAAATAAGTAAGAAGGGTTGAGCATACCCTATTTTACGACAGGTTTAAAAAATATGCGACCTTTTGGACAGGATCGATAAAAACCTTTGATTTTGTCTAATACTTCAAATTTTCCGACAAACGTTAGATTTTCCGACAATCCGACAAAATTTTTGCCAGGGGGGGCGGCTGCCCCCCCCTGCCCCCCCAGCCACTGCGCCCCTGAATGCATAGAAGTCTACTAGATTGGAAAAGTCATGCTTCCATTCAATAGGATCCCCTGCTACAGCTTCATTTTGAACATAGCCTCATTTTGCTGAAACAGGCCTCGCTAAAGTGTGCAAGCGGCGCTCGCAGGCAAACCATGCCGATCAAATTACGTCTGCAGGCACATCTGAAAAAGCGGTCTTAGATAGACTTGTTCAAAGTTTTCAATTGTTTTAGAATTTAGAGAAACAATTCAGCTACAAGTTTCACAATGTTGATATTAAGCTTTATCGCTTTGTGAAAGTGATTTATGTAGCAAAAAGAGAATAATACATTTACCTAATACTAATAACAAGATGTCAAAATATCTTGATATGATTATTGATTCTGTTTGCGTTGATGCAGCAAGTTATCGATTGAATCGGTCATCGATTGAAAGCTTCTGTGTAAAAAAATTCAGGACAAGCTACCAATCAGGATTTAGCGTGCAAGAGATGAAAATTGTGATGGTTGTTAATGGTTAAGATATAAAAAAAAGCTGAAAGTATCCTTAATTATAGTATCAAACAATATCAAGCGATAAAACCGACTGCCATTTCGTTCGTTGCTCGAATAAAATTGAGGACACAATCGCTGCAAATTTTCCCTTTTTGTCAGTAGCTAAAATTTGTTTAAACTCTATAACGTTATTTTTGTTGATGAAACCATAGTCATTCTGAAGTAACTTTCTGTTAATGGTCTTCGCGTAATTAAACCTTACTTAATGTCTTTTATTTCAAACAATTCTATATCCTACGCAGTACATATGATCCAAAGTTTTTCTGCTTCTCACAAAAAAGCATAGTTTTTTGCTACATACACAATAGCTATTAGTTATGTCCCGGCAACACTGTAAGGATAAAAACATTTATGGAATAAAAACTGCCCAAGTTGATTCTCGTTGTCATTCATAAAAACCATCGTTCATGTAATATTCGCACGTTCATGTAATATAATATGCTGGGCAACACAGCTCTATTTGTTCGTGATATCCTCTCACTGATATACAAACTACAGCACGTAGTTAAATTATCAGGTGTCCGCTTGGTGCCTGTAAAGAATACCTTGTATCCTTGCAATTTGATCTTGTGGCTTAACACTGTTGGCAAATAGACGGTCTTTGCAAACCAGATCAGCACAGCCTTTTGTCAGGCCAGTCGAATCCAATAACAGCCCAATCGGGTTTGCAAAGCTTTTAATAAAATCGAGCGGTATTATAGGCAGTTTTTTTAAAAGCCGGCGTCATGTGTTTAGCAATTTTAGATTTTAACAAAAATTACAGAATCAGATGAAATTAGAGCAGTAAATATTATTATATGGTGTATGTACTTATGATAATTTTCGCTCTAAGAGGCTAAAGATCAACAGATGTATTGAGACAATAGACCCAGGCTAGCTGTTTTTCTTCCAAAGAGTATGAATGAAACCGTAAAAAAATTTAAGCAAATAATTTCGAATGGCTGAAATTTAG